TGTATTACGTTTTCCTTATCGATTTCCGTAGGGTCCTCCCTCTTCCTACATTTTCCAATACTTCCTCATTTCTAACCACAATCCTAAACCGCAAAGCTAACGAAACATTAGACGGTACAACATAAAGCTCTCAGGAGTGGAACTTGAAGAATCAATAACAATAAAAAAATTCAATTCTATATATTATGAAACAACAATTTTTGATACCGATACAACTGTTCCGTTTGGACCATTTTTCTTTTTCTTTCGGAGACTGACGCAAAATAGGAAGATGAGAACTGAAGACGTCATAATGATGAGAAACTGAGATATGCACAACTAAAACTTGACATTAAAAAGAAAAAAGTTGGAATTTACGCAAGCGAAACCACAGGCAACTATAAACTTTTACATTATTCAAACTTCTGTGTATTGTCACAATAACAACACTGTAATCCAATACGACTCTGGCGACTATTTTTCGTTTAGCTACTGATAAAAACTCCAACAGACTGCATTATTCGAGGTCAGTGTAAAAGGAAAACTGAAACTTCGTGTAAGAACGGATTATATACAGTATCATAACACGAAGACTACCAGCACATTATACATGACATTTATTACATGATGTGCTTGTAAAACCACCGAAGAAATATAATATAATAACACGTCATGTACACATTAATAAGTGTTATATTTAATATTTTTCTGTTTGAAGTAATGGAGATATAATTTTTTTATCTTTATGTTATAGTTTCTTCAGTTCAACAACAAATAACTCTTCTATATGCTTCCTTATTTGACGTATTATTNACAGTATCATAACACGAAGACTACCAGCACATTATACATGACATTTATTACATGATGTGCTTGTAAAACCACCGAAGAAATATAATATAATAACACGTCATGTACACATTAATAAGTGTTATATTTAATATTTTTTACATAGATAAGAGCTAGGCACAAGATTTCTATGTCATCTGCAATATGGACAGATTTTACGGTAACATGTTTGGATAATACTAAGAAGGAGTTACAGACAACCCACTAGGATCAACGGGTAGATACAGAGGGCGAAATTGATCTATTTTTGATGGTGCTCACTGAATTCCAAAACGATCCCCTATTCTCTAAGAACCTGTTACCACATTCCAAGCGACCGTGAAATCTGGTGCCCACTTCTTAAGACAATAAGTTGTAAAATTCAACGCTTTTCTCTTAATTAATGTATTAAGTATTGTCGACTTAAGTATTTTAATAAATGGTTAAATGTACAGCATCAGCGTCTATATTAAAGAAATGTGTGATAATGACTGAACCTCAACAAAAGAAATTATTTTGAATAATTCCACTTTTCAGCCAACGATAAAATTGGTGAAACATCAAGGAATCTCATGAATCGACGCTTCTATGAGCTCAAAAACTATTGAAATTAATCGTTATCATACGGTCTACAGTACAAAATCTGGTATCTTCACTTACTACTACTTATTTTAAGGTTAATCTTCACATCTCTTGAAAACTAGAGCAAGCTACATATATCTCTAATTATTTGCGGATAGTAAGGTAATCTAGGTCTACACCTTCCTCATTTAACTCCTTTTTCTACGTCTAATATGTTTTAAATCAGCCACTCATGTCTGAGAAGGCGCCCTGCCAATTTATCTCGCCTATTTCTTATTAACCCCCATAGCGTCCTCTGTTCTCCTACTCATTCTAATACTTCCTCATTTCTAACCTTTTTAATCCACAATATTTAATGTCTTCCCTAAAACACCAACTTTTAAACACTTTCAACTTTTCCGACAGCACCAGCAACAAAATCGTAATCCAAATAATCTTTTTCAAATTTCCAAACCCAAGCAAAAAAATACGTCATTCCGGAATTGCCACCCCAGCCGAAGCAGAAGGAAGAAAACCCCTCAGGAAAGAGTATCGTACTTTCTTCATGAAACTCATATATCATTTTAACTATATCTTGGCCCGAATGTACGATTTTTCCTGATGTCAAGGGCTAAATGGCTAAATCCGTTCCTACTAATGAAGGTATCTTGCGTTTTCATCTCTGAAGTCAGGGAAAAATATCGTACTATCAGTAAAAAAGTAATTTTCTTTGACCTTGAGCTTTTGTTTGTTTTCTATCTTTAGCGCTTTTTCCATCCTGAGTTACCTGACTCCCTAACCATCAAACATCGGCTACTTCTTCTTGAAGAAGTCATCTATTCTTCTAAGTTTACATTACATCCCTTTGTGGGTTGTCAACTAATAAACCGAACAATAAATCGCTTCAAATAACCAATTAATCAACAAATCGGATATGATCTGTAATCACTAATCACTAATAAAATTCAATTCTATTGTTTCGCTTTTACAATTATATTGTTTTAAGAAATTATAAGTATCAGCGAGTGATAATTAGTGTATTGATTGATATAAAGTTTAGAATGTATCCGTAAAGAAATATTTCCATGGAATTACCATAAATTATTATTTGTGCCCTTGGGTTATAAACAATCCAACTTGCTGACGATTTTCTGTATAGAGTGCATTCATAAAAATCTTTAACAACTGTAAGCATCATAAATAAAATCATAGTGCATAACATCCGTACAATAGATTTTTTATTGTATCTTAAAATGCATGATCAATCCCAGGATTTTCTGGTCCGCTTCTGTCAGTTATATAAGATTTTAAAAGATATCCTGCGCTTCCAGAATCATTTAAGTAAAAAATTATATTCTAATCTACAATTAATAGATTTATTATCATCCTTCCTAACAGCAATCGACTAAACTTGTTCTAGGTATAACCATTTTTGTAATGTTAATTGATTATTCTATAGGTACTTGAAGGTAATTTAAAATTTACATATTTCGTAACTTTAATGACATGTTGTAAGTAATTAAGAAGACTAATTGAATGTCATTTACTAAAAATCTACTTGCATCCAAAATCATTACAAAAGGTGCTTGAGTGACTCTCTCTCTCTCCTCTCCTGAATCAAGCACGTACTTTTAAATCAATTGACTCTAGCAGATAGATCGAAGTTCCAGGCAAACGAAAGTAAATATATTGTAGACTCCTGTAGTAATGTGGGTATGTAAAATAGATAAACCATTAGCATATAACGGCTTTAAGAATTCGTTACACGTATGATTAATGTTTCGTCAAATGGAAACAATAAATTAAATGGCAAAGTAGTTAACACTTCTTATTCGAAAGTTTGGAAGTACCCAAAAATTAAACTTAATTTTGTGTTGCAACGTTTGAATTCGTCGTCGTCAAGTAATTTAATTAAAATGTTGAAAAACGGCGTATTTAAATGTGTCATGTTCTGTTGCAGGAACTAATGCAAATTTCCTTGAACAACTTTTCATAGTAGGCATAGCAAATTTCTTTAAATCCGGTAATCAACCTCATTTTCATTAGAACCGGTGGGTAAAACAAAATACAAAAGAAAGGATTAGTAGTATTTTACAATTTGAATGTACAATGCATTTTTTAAATGTAATTCGTTTTTCTTATATAAAATCAGTAAAAGTTTAATTCGAATCGATTATTTTAAAGAAACTTTTAAGAACTTTTTGTTGTTTCTATCTTCGATTATAAATAATTAATATATGAATATTTTTTTTTAACTTATACGAGGGTGGATTGATAAGTTTCCGGCCTGACCAAGAAAAACAAGGTTTTTAAAAATTTTTTTTTTTTATTTCTCAACATAATCTCCTCCAAGGCTGATACATTTCTCATAGCGGTGTTCCAGTCTATTAATGCCATCTCTATAGACTGATTCGTCAAGCTCCTCAAAATAACCATTTACGGCTTCGATTACTTCTTCATTGTCCGCAAATCTCTTACCGCCAAGCCATTTTTTGAGATTAGGGAACAGAAAATAGTCACTCGGGGCTAGGTCTGGAGAGTAAGGAGGGTGCGGCATCAATTCAAACTTTAGATCGTTGATTTTAGCCGTCGCAACGATTGACGTGTGCGCTGGTGCGTTATCGTGATGAAACAAGATTTTTTTCTTCGCCAGATGAGGTCGTTTAATTTTCACCTCGTGGCTCAAACGTTGCAATAAGTCTGCGTAGTATTGACCAGTGATAGTATTACCCTTTGCAAGGTAATCAATGTATATAATACCTCTTGCATCCCAAAAAACAGTAGCCATAACCTTGTTCGCCGAAAAAATTGTTTTTGCCTTCTTTGGAGTTGGTTCCCCTGGTCCAATCCACTGTTTAGACTGTTCTTTGGTTTCAGGAGTGTAGTGGTGGACCCACGTTTCGTCAACGGTTACGAATCGACGCAAAAATTCGCTTGGATTACGCTTATACAATGACAAATTTGCGGTAGAAATGTCTTTTCGAATCAATTTTTGGTCGACTGTTAGCAAACGCGGCACCCATCTTGCACAGAGCTTTTCCATATGCAAATGTTGGTGCAAAATATGTTGCACACGTTCATATGACATCTTACAGGTCTCAGCTATCTCACGCACTTTCAATCTGCGGTCTCCCAGCACTATTTGATGAATTTTTTCGATCATATCTGGAGTTGTGACCTCAACGGGGCGTCCTGAGCGAGGCCCATCAGAGGTGCTCACACGACCCTTTTTAAACTCGGAAACCCACTGCTTAACGGTTGAATATGACGGGGAGGATGTCCCCAGTGTTGAGTCCATCTCTTTTTTAATTTCCTTCGGCGTTAACCCCTTCAAATAAAAGTATTTGATGACAGCACGATTTTCCTGCTTTTCCATTTTTACGAAAACCACAGAGGCGTCTTGTTCAGCGTGCTGTCAAACCTACACTAGCAAGGAGATCGGGCTGAAACTATAGCTACAAGCTATCCAAGGATGGTACTATAGAATGTCACCTCAAGGTAGGCCTAGTGGCGTCATCTCTTGGTTAGGCCGGAAACTTATCAATCCACCCTCGTAAATAATTATACTGACAATCTGTTTTATTCGATCGTGTTAATCAATATTTTTTAAATCAAACTCATATCTTTCCTACCTGTGCCACAAGGACTCAATATGCAATTAAGTAGTGCAGGTAACAACATTCACTTCATTAACTGCGAACTTATTCGTCAAAAACCCGAAAAATGTTTCATCGTAAATCGAAAATCACAAACAACCACAATAAAATCGTTCAGTTTCATACACAAGATTGAAAATGATTAGATCCATTCACAGAAAAACAGCGCGAGAAAGACGTGAAAAGTCCACGCTTCGTAAAGCTCGGCCGCAAACTAAGCCAACTTTATAAAACTTTACCAAACCATCACTGTTCGTCATTGCAGCTCACCTTGCAGCGCCCGAACCAACGGTAGAAGTTAATGTCGCCTGGGCAACGGCATTCTGATTGGTTCGTATCACAAATCAACGGTAGGTGCCTCACAGCAGCACACGCTTTTCCACCTGCTTGTTCATTGTGATTCAAACAAGTTTTTTTTCTTTCAAAACAAACGCCGACAGCTATTAAAAAACCGTCGTCATTCGCTGATTAAAAAAAATTCAAAACGCGACCGACGACTGTTACAAACGAACTAAGTAAGTAATTACTCAAAAACGCATTAAATTCCGTACCAAAGGTATCACTTAAGTCAGTATACAAGGATTGTTCAACAAGCATTCGACTTCCATGACACATACCTGGTCAAGTTCCTTTACCATACCAGGACTCTGTGTAGTCCTTCCAAGCACAGTGATATTACACCGTTTGTGGAGTATTTAAAATTTAATTTAATTCAACGCCATTTATTGTTCGATTTGTGTCTTTATAATAATGTAGTCAAATCTATTTTTATTACTAAAAGTACTTCTCAATACTTATTATCAAATCCCAATACAGTACATCGATCCCTGTGTCGATCAAAATTCTGAAAGTTTCATATTTCTACATCAACTGGTTCTGAAGAAAACCAATATAATAATTGAATCTTTCTCTGAACTGGTCGTTCCAATTTTGATAAGAATTTATTAATATCTATCCAAGTTGGCTTCATCGTCATCACCATAAGGTCTTTAGTTCTAAAACTGGACACACATCTTCACTCTTTCCTATCCTGAGCTAATCTTCGCATTTCCCTAAAACTAGAACATCTTGTGAACAGTAATCTAATCTAGGTCTACTTCTACTCCTTTTAACTTCTATTTCTACTTCCAGTATATCTCTAACTAGTTCTTCATACCTGACAAGTTGTGTTACCAACCTATTTCTTATTGACTTCCATAGCGTCCTCTGCACTTCTACTATTTCTCATAACTCCTCATTCCTAATCTTCTCTATCCACGATATCCTCACCATTCGCCTGTAACGCCAAACTAACCTTTTTTACAATCTTTTTCGAATTTCTAAATTAACCGTTCGCTAGCATAGGAGTGACTTCTTTTTGTTACGCTATCCTGTTGTATATCTCTACTACTCCTTCCATCCTGACTTATCTGACTTCCTAGATACTGAAAATCAGTCACTTCTTCTAATTTTTCATACTCTATCTTTATATATACTCTTTTCCTAATTTTTTCCCTTGCATACCAGTATTTTCGATTTACTTCATTTATTTTCACACAATAATGTTTGTCAGTACCGCTTCCATTTTATTTAAGGCTATCTCTAAAACATCTTTGCTACAAGCTAATGCTGCTATATCATCTGCTAATCTAAGCATACCAATCCTTTGCCTCTATATATATATCCCTGAAGTTAGCCTGTCTTTAATAATGTTTATAGTCTTTGATATTTAGATTAAAGGTAGTGTGCATCCCCGTCTGAATCTATTATATTCTCTACATTGCTACTCAAGTCCTATAACTGCCTGTTGCTGCTTATGTTGTTCTATTTCTATATCTCATCCCTACATTTTTAAATATATCATGCTCCATTTAACATTGTCAAAAGCTTCTTCTAAATTTAAGAATCCTATGTATGCGCTCGTTCCTTTTTTATAGTTTTCTCTATTGTCACTCGTAAAGCAAAAATGCCTTCCCGCGTTCCTCTATTTCTTCTAAACACAAATTGGTCTTCCCCTAATAGTTCTTCCACTTTTTCTCCAGTTAATATTTTTGACGCATGAGAAGCCCAGTTATAATACAGTAGGGGAAATAAAGAAAGAAAAAGAAAAATCTTCCTAGACACACACACAGAAATTAAAATAAAGCTTATCTATCTAATACAGTAGGGGTAAAATTATAAAAATAATATCTTTAAATCATATTATTGAGGGCATTATTTTTGAAAAGACATTAATTTCTGGTCTAGAAAAATTGATTGATTTTATTTGCACCTTTGCACTGTAAAGAGAATGTGTTTAACTGTAAATTATTTATGAAGATTGGAAAAACTTTGGCGGTTGTTGTAGAACAAAGTAAAACAGTTTTACTTCAGTCCCTGAAGAAGGTAACTTTGTTACCGAAAAGTGCTTCGGACAACTACAGTGTCGTGTTTTGGCGTTGGGGTTTTGAGCTATTCTGTTTGTTCTACAACAACCGCCAAAGTTTTTCCAATNATAAAAATAAGAATCAACTTATTATACAAGCAACAATACTTTCCACATCAATTGGTTGCAAACAAATCTTTTCCATTTTCTAAAATAATAAATAAATAATCAACAGGGACATAAAATTAAAAATTAATTTATTCATATTATAAGTATTAATATCCGAATATTTAGATAATAAAAACAATTGATACTAAAAAAAAATTTATTTTCAAAATTCAAAGTACAAAAAGTAAAATGTAACAGAATTGGGTATAATTTAAAGCTAATTAGGTAATTGTCGCACAACCATAATATTTTATTTAATTTATTGTCTGTCGCTGCTTCCAGTGGCACAGCATTGATACTTGTTTATTAGTGTTACCTGCTACAACTCTTTTTCCTTTTTAATAAATAAAACTCGATTTCATTTCATAATAAATATAAGCCTAATTATTTTTACTAAAGACACTTCAGCCTAATCCTAAGACGTATTTTGGTAACTGTATCGTTAGTCGAGGTATTGACCATAAAGCGTTTATTCTAAAAAATACATTTTGAGATTAGAAGTAGACAAAAAATTGTAGTAAATAAATTATCAAAAATAAAATTCAGAAATATGAGTAGGTACAATTTCTTAAATGCGAAGCTATTTCATAAGGTGCTCCAATACCCCTTCACCATATCGAATATATTTACTATATACAGGGAAGGCAAAAATATCAACCAACATAGAAATTAGAGATGTACCAGATAGTGATTTTGCCGAGGGTTCTGGATAACCCAGCCGGGTACCCGGTAAAATCACCACCGTTAATAGTTCATGTCTTCGTTCTGGCAAAACTACAGAAATTATAACACTTCGGTCATACTGATGTATTTTTGCTTAGGATAAAAATTCAACACAAGAACTATATCGAAATAATAAATAATTTAGTATAGTAATCAATAAATAATATATTTTAGGACAAACTACCTACCGCAATACAATCTTAATTACCAATTTTCATTAAGTAGGTTTTATTATAAAAATGAACATTGGAAAAACTTTAGTGGTTGTTGTAGAACAAACAAAATAGCTCAATGGAGTTTGAGCTATTTTGTTTGCTTTAGGTTTTATTACACTTATTAAATTATTATTGCTGATGCTCGTCTTTTCCTGGCATTACCGAGTACCCAGCATCTTTATCTGGTACCCAGCCGGATCCTAAAAGAGTGGCGGATCCGCCGGGTACGGAATCCAAACTGGGTACCCGGCTTGTCGCTAATAGAAATTACGTACAAGCTTTTTTGTCACAACAACTCTGTGTTAATGATAATCAAAATGTAAATACATCTGATTAAATAAATTCATTATTTTAACTGTAAAGACTACCTATAGACATTAAAGAAGTATTGTTTGTAACTTACCTAAATTTTGTGGCAGAGTGTGATCAAACTAAGTGTCCGTCACCAGACTACAATAATACACTAAAAGTTAATTATTAAGGCTAGATTTTTACAAATGTACACACATATATGTACAATAAAACAAATGTGTATATACAATTAAATTGATAAAAGAAAGAGATGCAAGCAATAAATATAAAGGCATTTAAGGAAGGGAGTTTTTATTATTAATTTTAATTTATTGTAAGTTTACTGTGTCTCCTTGTGGTTAAAATTAGTAGCAGGGTAGTAGTCCATACCTGGTCAAGTTCNTACTTGTATCCATTTTTATTTTCTTACTACATACTGATGGATTTACTTTATCTCTTAGTTCGTTCCAGTTTTTCGCTCTTCCTTTTTCTCTTAAACTTTTGTGACCTTTTGTAATTTAAAATTTCTTCTTCTTGGTAGAACGTAATGTATTTATGTTACTAATAATTATAAGCAGCTTTCCTTTTCTAAAACATATCCGCTCGTGTATATACCTAATGCAAAATGTATTGTAATGGCATAACGTAATAGTTGTATCACCTTTTATAATAATTTATTCGGTGACGTGATGCTTAATCTTCTGTTAAAAACCATGGGATCCATAGTGTGCGTGTTACTATCATATGCGAACGGCAACTCATGAATATTAATTCTATTTGACTGCGGTGTTAATGGCCACTTCCTTTGATTCGTGGAGCCGGAAGATGACATTTTTATTTTTACTTTGATTTTATTCGAGAACATCAATTATCGTCAACTGCACTCGTCCGACCGAATGTCAACTGCACTTGAACATTTATTATTTTTGATTTGTTTGAGATACCTATGAGTCTTGTTATATTTAAATGGGAAAGTTATTTTTAACGCTACAAGTTTTTCTATTTTTAACGCCTTTTCTTCTGGATTTTATGTAGGTGACGAGTAGAAGTGTGCAAAATGTTTTTTTAAAAGTATTTAAATACAAAATGCAAATACTTTTTTGATTTGTTATTTCAAATGTAAAATACAAAATAGATTTCCATTTTGTATTTTAAATGCTAAATGCAAAATAAGTGCGTATTTTTAAAATACTTTTTTTCAAATAAATATTTATTGTAGTACCTGTTTAATTTTCTACATTTACTTAAGTATAAAATATTTTTTTAGAAAACATCGCAGTCATTTGCTCATTCTTTTACTTTCGTAGTTTTTCTAGACTAATGGTGGTGTTTGCACTATATCACCAGCTACGAAGATTAAGAATAATTCATATTTTTCTGTTTGAAGTGATTGTGGTATAATTTTTTATCTTTCTGTTATTCTTCAGTTCAGCAACAAACCATTCTTCTATATGCTTCTTTATTTGCACCTGTCACCGTTTCAATTTGAAACAATGACACTGATGCCAAAACAGTTTGCTTAGCGTGAAAGATCGGAGCCAAAATAATTTTATTGATGTAAAATCACCATCAACCATTTTATTTCGAAATATTTACAACCCCAATTTGTTTCTGATCTTTTACACATTGTAATAAGAGAAATAAATGGAATCTATAGTTTCTTTAGCTTTGGGTTAATCAAATTAGTGAAGTGTTTCGAATCGTGTTCCAAGAATTTTGGATTATATATATTAATTAGCACACCACAATATCTTGTAGTTTTCAATTTTACTCAGCTGACGTATATCAATTCGATATTGTTTTGTGGGCTGGTTTGTCGTAATTCATAGAATTTCGCTAAAATTCGATAAGAGGTGATTTGGAAGGAGCTGATATCAATTTGGAACTTCAAAATTCCATGGACTATGACATTGAACCCGGGAAACAATATCGATCCAATACTTTAGATTATCCATTTCCAACGAGTTTAGAATTTTTTGTGCACTCTTCAGTTAAAGAATTAGAAAGCATTCATGGAATGTCTCTTTGTCCTCTTAACGACAAAAACGTATTTTGCATTTTACAAATAGAAAATACGTTTGGAAAAGTATTTTAAATAAAATACAAAATGCTTTTCTCAAAAAAGTATTTAAATACAAGACAAAAACAGATGATTTAAATGCAAGTATTTCAAATAAATCACACATCTCTATTCCTAACGTTTCGCTAGCTCGAATGGCAAGGTTCGTCAGAGGTGTGGACCACATTCAGCATTGGAGTCGGAAGGACTTCTGAATAAGCTCACAACTCGAGTTAGCGAAACGTAAGGAAGCATATTTTTTGAAAAATACTATCTAACGCCAAAGATATGTTGGCAACCCTACCGACCGCGAAAGCCTATCCCAAAAAAATCTTACTTGTAAAATAAATCAAACAGCTGTACATCGTTCGACATTTTTTGTACCAAGCTGTCCCAGTCTGTGGGCCTCAAAGCCTCCATGCCAAAAGCCTGCCTTACTGAATAAAGTTTGAACCAAATTGGGTACCCATACAAATTAGCTTCCCTTAAATTCATGGTCCATGACTCGTGATCAACAACAGCCTACAACAAGGCAGTAGATATATTATCATGACAAAAGTATATGTATTAATTACCCTTGTGGTGTCGTCATGATCTCCGTCAATATAATAAATTCGATAACCTGGATTAAGATCGTAATAGGGAGATACTGATGGACCCAGGTATGCTACACTTATCGCACGACCTAAATACGTACAATTATGAACTTAAATAGTTGTACTTTTAGGCATATCGAAGGCACTTACTTAGGTCTTTATTGTCGTAAAATATTTCGAATTCGTCGTAATGGGTATGACCGAAAAATTGAGCTGCAATTATAGACTCGTATCGATTGATAATTGCGTAATAATTACGTGACCAAACTTTTAGACAGTCGGAATGACCCGGAGGAATATGACCTAAAGTTCAATCAGTAAGACATGTGCCATATAGACCCTTGAAATAGAAGATCTTACCAATAATGTGGACTTTTTCGGAATTAAATTCAGCCGACTGTAATTCATAAATGAACCACTGCAACTCAGTAGCTGGATCGGTACTGTTCAAGAGCAACCACCTTAAAATTATTACCTACCGTTTAATTTATGTCTGCAGCAAAAAATATTTGGTCTTACCAGTTTTTGTTGTTACAATAATTCATATTCAAAGAAATAAGTCTGAAACCTGGTCTAACAAGAACTGAATAAAAAGCACCCCTACGAACTGTATTACTGACCGACGTCGGTAACCATTTTCTCCACTGTTTATCTAATTCGTCATATAGCCAAGATATGGCACTCTCGGGGGTGTTTACAAAAGGTGGAGGAAAACTAGAAGACCAAAAAGGAACAGGTCAAAAACGTTCCAAAATAATGATAATAATATTCTCTCGTATTAAACATAAGTTCTAATTAGAGAGAAAATTAAAGCATTACCGTTTGTAGGTATTTAAAACGAAATACTACAAACTTTATAGTCAGGAATAAAAATACAAACAAAGACAGAATTGCATGCAAAAATAATTACAAATAATACAATTAAGCACCGAAAATTAGGATTAGATATTAGTAATACTTACGAAACTGTTATCGTGTTATAAAACCAGTCTTTCCAGGACGATGACGAGTTATCGATCCTTGATTCGATTGACTCACATAGATTCTTTCTATCGTGCGATCTTCCCGAATGTAAATCACATAAAATTCGTTTTTTACAATCCACATCACAAGATGGTCGTACAGGACTAGCTTTGTAATAATATCTAAAGGAAGTACATCAAAAATAAACTAATTACAGGACCAAAACAAAGTCTAAAGACTGGAGTTGCTTCCTAACTAGAGATGTGCAAAATGGTTTTTTAGATGTATTTAAATACAAAATGCAAATACTTTTTTGATTTGTTATTTCAAATGTAAAATACAAAATAGATTTCCATTTTGTATTTTAAATGCTAAATGCAAAATAAGTGCGTATTTTTAAAATACTTTTTTTCAAATAAATATTTATTGTAGTACCTGTTTAATTTTCTACATTTACTTAAGTATAAAATATTTTTTTAGAAAACATCGCAGTCATTTGCTCATTCTTTTACTTTCGTAGTTTTTCTAGACTAATGGTGGTGTTTGCACTATATCACCAGCTACGAAGATTAAGAATAATTCATATTTTTCTGTTTGAAGTGATTGTGGTATAATTTTTTATCTTTCTGTTATTCTTCAGTTCAGCAACAAACCATTCTTCTATATGCTTCTTTATTTGCACCTGTCACCGTTTCAATTTGAAACAATGACACTGATGCCAAAACAGTTTGCTTAGCGTGAAAGATCGGAGCCAAAATAATTTTATTGATGTAAAATCACCATCAACCATTTTATTTCGAAATATTTACAACCCCAATTTGTTTCTGATCTTTTACACATTGTAATAAGAGAAATAAATGGAATCTATAGTTTCTTTAGCTTTGGGTTAATCAAATTAGTGAAGTGTTTCGAATCGTGTTCCAAGAATTTTGGATTATATATATTAATTAGCACACCACAATATCTTGTAGTTTTCAATTTTACTCAGCTGACGTATATCAATTCGATATTGTTTTGTGGGCTGGTTTGTCGTAATTCATAGAATTTCGCTAAAATTCGATAAGAGGTGATTTGGANATTATTTTTATTTCACTGAATAATAACAAAGAACAAATAATAATTTCAACTAATGAGAATAATTAAAAATAATTGAGAAGTTTTCAAGAAAATGCATCTTTTTACTGCTAATTTACAAGGTCGTAACAAAAATAAAACATGAAATTAAAATTTTGACGTAGGAAGCACGAATTAATCAGATATTAACGTAGCTTCCTACACTATTTCTGAGTTAACATTAAACAGGAAAAGTCCTGGATCGGGATGACAGATCTAAAAATATTTTATTTAGGACAGGGACAAAAAACCTGTCATGAAATTTTGTACACACATTGTCAGGAGTACGGAAAATCACATAGGGTACCTTTTATCTATAAAAAAAATTGTTCCCGAAGGATAAAAAGATTAGTTCTATGTAGTTGTCGATGATTTTTGACAAGTATTTAAAACATCAACGCCAACGAAGTCGCGAGTAAAACCTGTCATGAAATTTTGTACACACATTGTCAGCTAGGAGTCCAGAAAAGTACATAGGGTACTTTTTGTCTAGATAAAAAATTGTTCCCGAAGGATAAAAAGATTAATTCTATATAGTCGTCGATGATTTTTGACAAGTATTTAGGATATCAACGCGAGCAAAGCCCCGGGTAAAACCTGTCATGAAATTTTGCACACACATAGTCAGCTAGGAGTCCAGAAAAGTACATAGGGTACCTTTTGTCTAAAGAAAAAATTGTTCCCGAAGGATTAAAAGATTAATTCTATGTAGTCGTCGATGATTTTTGACAAGTATTTAGGATATCAACGCGAGCGAAGCCCCGGGTAAAACCTGTCATGAAATTTTGTACACACATTGTCAGCTAGGAGTCCAGAAAAGTACATAGGGTACCTTTTGTCTAGAGAAAAAATTGTTCCCGAAGGATAAAAAGATTAACTCTATGTAGTTGTCGATGATTTTTGACAAGTATTTAGGATATCAACGCGAGCGAAGCCCCGGGTAAAAGCTGTCATGAAATTTTGCACACATATAGTCAGCTAGGAGTCCAGAAAAGGACATAGGGTACTTTTTGTCTAGAAAAAAAATTGTTCCCGAAGGATAAAAAGATTAATTCTATATAGTCGTCGATGATTTTTGACAAGTATTTAGGATATCAACGCGAGCGAAGCCCCGGGTAAAACCTGTCATGAAATTTTGCACACACATAGTCAGCTAGGAGTCCAGAAAAGTACATAGGGTACCTTTTGTCTAGAGAAAAAATTGTTCCCGAAGGATTAAAAGATTAATTCTATGTAGTCGTCGATGATTTTTGACAAGTATTTAGAATATCAACACGAGCAAAGCCGCTGGTAAAACCTAACATGAAATTTTGTTCACACATTATCAGGGGTACAGAAAAGGGCATAGGAAGTTAAATTTAATTATATATTAGTAATAATTTAAACATTATTTTCAATTTATCAAACTTCATTCCTACCAAGTGTCCCACGACACCAAACAACTTTTTTTACCTATTGACTGGTGCAGATTCGTGATTGCCAAGGGCTGGGAAAATTGGAACACCCGGAAATGTGTCAGACATTTGCTGAACAGTTTCTTTAAGAATTTTCAAATTTTCCTCCCTGGTTTGATTCCAAATATCGTGAGGCGGCAAATCGCCAGTCCAAATAATATAATCAATATCCTAACAGGATTTAAAATTGATTTTAAAAATTGCACAGCCAATCAAAGTACATATAATTTATATCTTACGTGATGGGTATCGGCTATATGTTTAAACATGTTATCGACAGTTATTTTTGGTGTGTCGCATTTTCGGTAATCACCCCATCTACGAAGTTAAAATATTTTTTACGAGAGCACGTTAAATATTAAACAAAACCTACTTGCCGGCAGCTTGTTCTTTGGATGCTGCAGGACCATTTGTTAATCGACAACACAAAGGCTCTGCGCAGTCTGCATTACTACCCTCCAAATAATAGGGATCGTAATGCGTGTCAGACAAATGTAATACTTTAAATGACGGGGCACTTGGCTATAAAAAGATATATCGAAAAATATTAACTTAAACGTACTCAGATAAATAAATAAATAAATAAATATGCAGGAAATTCAACAACTAAAAACCCTAACAAATCCAAAATTAATGTTTACTGACTTATGAAGGTTTCAGAAAATCTTTTTAAAAATTTTCAGGCGACATCAAAAACAATGTCTTAAGGGACATTAATGATAATTACTTTTCTAGTTCCTTGTTTCATAAATTTTCTAAAAAAGCACAAATGGTTTAATGATTATCAATTTGACGTTGGTTCATAAAAAAATCTAAAAACCTTGACTAACTACGCATTTTTGACCCTAGTCGAAACGACTTTATTTGTTGTAAATGAACTATAGTGTGTTCCCATTCAAGAAACAGGTCAAATTTTTGGTCACCCTATATATCAGATGAAATTTTGTTCATTTAATTAAAAAAGGTTATTTTCTTCAATGTTACCTACACCAATCAAAAAAAGCGTAGATACATAAAAATTATGGCAGTAAAAATAAAAATATATTTTAACCTTTGGAATATCTTGTGGTTTTTCTGGAGGTTTTGGTACAGGTGGAAATACCACCTCCCACTCGTGATAAGGGTTATAGACATCTCCACAGGCGTCACCGATAACAAAACTACAAACTTCATCCGGACCTGAAATAAAATTTCATCTATGCTGTAACTATACTTGAAATAAGCATCATTTTCGATTTTTACCATATTTTACTTTTCCTAAAACATAAATAACTTCTCCTGCAAACAATTCCGTTATTCCTTCACAAACTCTGGCAGATTGTATTTTTAACGATACGCAAAACTGGTAGATTGTCTTTTTTATTTCGGTTTCAGATTTTCCCGTCCGGATGTAGTGTTGCAACAATCCAGCCCCTAAAACAGTAACAATTAATAACAAATGACTCACCTAAATGTTGTTCAACTTACCAGCTTTACAAGCTGTACAAGAGACTTTTGACATTACGCTATTTTCAATTTCGAAAGCTACTTGTTTTAAGTGCATTATTTTTAAAGCTTTATCAAAAAACATGGGAAGATGGGACGATTTTTCCTGGTCCAATTCCCACAATAAACGGCCCTTGAACATTTTTTAAGAAGGGTAATATTAAAGACTGTTTTTGTTACTAGAAACCCAGTGGCGTAACTATCGGAATTGAAACCAGATTCTTCAAAAATTCATAAAGCAATGCATTCCTCATACCCAATAAGGGGATGCTTAAGGGACTGAATCAGCCCCCTCCCCCAGCCAAAACAACTGATATTTAGAATTTGGCGAATGCAAAAACTCGTACCAAAATTTTATAAGTTATAATTAAACTTATGTGGTATTATAGGTTTATTTCTGCCACAACAGAAGTTTTTTGAATATAGTTACACCAACTAATAAAACCAATACAAGCTCAATCGTATTCCTAAATGATTTTAAATCTTTAAGAAGCATTTAATTTAATATTACAATTCTACAGCATTATATTTAATCATGATTATTTGATTAAAATAATACTGATTAGGTTTAAAATGAAATCAATCTAAATTATGTATTCACTGGCAAGTAGTTAGTATTTTCTCGACTACGAATTTATGAGATCAGTGAAATCTCGGTGAAGTTACAAAGTAATAACCCGTACGTTCTAAGTAAGAATTAAATTACTAGAAATTGCCAGAGAATCCTCTGGAATCATTACACAGTAAATGATTCTTTATTCTAATCGTAAATATATTTTGAAACCACTTGAAATCAGTAGAAATCATCCATCAATAAGTAATTGAAAGTCATTGTGAAATATTCAAATTAATTTTAAGTGAACTGATCCTCGCACAAGTTAAAGTTTTAATTACATCTCTAGATTTCACCTGTTCGTTTAGGCAGACACTACAGCAATTGCCAAACATTACGTACTTACAGTGCCACTTGCAGCAGGAGGTAAAGTGTGATTTTTTATAAACTGTAATAGAACAGGAGTCCTGCTTGGTTGAATTTTATAATTCCACGTATCTTTAAAAGAGTTTTCTTCTTCTTCATATTCCGGCAGAGTCTCATTTTCCACAGTAAGATTTTCTATGATATCAGGTAACTTATCGATTATTATAGGTCCACCTGAAAATCCATTCTTTTAACAAATACCCTTTTACTTTTTAAACGGTTTTTTTTCTTACATAATACATAAACCGTGTGAAGAAGGATGCAGAGGGGTAGAAAAATAGTAATTTTCACCATGTCGGCTGCAAAAAGAGATTTATATTACTTATCACTTTATTGACAGTAATCTTCGATTCGCAAGAGGTTTTGTTGTAAAACTGTTTTTGAAATTGTAAACTTTATTTTAATATTAAAAGAATCACGTTCAGAATGATTTTGCAATCCCTATCGCAGCAAAATAGAATGAGATTGAAAACAATACATCATTTCAGACAGGACAACCTTAGGGATCGATATACAGGGGCAAAAGATTAATATGCTTAGATTTGCAGATGATATAGTAGTATTAGCATCTAGCAAGGAGGACTTAGAGATAGCTCTAAATAAAATTGAAGCGGTATTGGCGAAACAGTATTGTATGAAAATAAATAAAAGTAAAACAAAAATACTGATATGCAAGGGAAGAAAAAGTAGCGAAAGAGCGAATATAAAGATAGGAGACGAAAAACTAGAAGTTGCTGATTTTCGGAATCTAGGAAGTCAAATAACTCAGGATAGAAGGAGCAGTAGAAATTAAAAACAGAGATTTAGGGAAATACGAGGATTAGCTCAGGATAGGAAAAACTGGACTTAGGACTGATGATCTCGATGACGATGTAATATACCGTAGGCATTAAACTAATATTTAGCGTTAAGAAGTTATAATAAAACTAATGAAACAACTTTTGTTCGTGATGTTTCTCAATCAATAGGTTTTAGAATGCAGCTGTGTTGAAACTTACAAAAAGAATTACAAAAATCACCGTATGAATACAGATTTAAGTACTTTGGTGTCTATGTTTCTTCGCCGTGGAAAATCGGTGGCATACCTTCCAAAACGTAGGTACTATATTAAATGAAAACATTCTTCTACTTATTTTTACCTAATAATAATAATAATAAATGGCAAGTTGTTAAATTGTTATTCCTTCAGATATTTGTTTTAGATGAATCCTATTCAACGCAACGTTTGTAGATACATAAAATTCGTTAGTAATAAATACATACTTTAAAATGTCTAAAATAGTAAATACTTTTTTATATACTAATGATACATTTATCAAATAATTTGAGTACATATTTAAAAACGTAATGTTCCTTCTTTATTTGTTATCACAAGCTGAAAGCTGAAAAAGATCGTGACTACGTGTCTGGAAGACAGTACATAGAAAATTACTATGAAATTGCAGATACTTGAATTTCTTAGTAATATAAATATGATATCTAATAACTTTCATTATCCAATTAGCTAGGGAATCAAATCGTTTGTTTTATTCGTTTAATTAAAGTGTTAAAAACCCGATGTGTACTTCTTTGTGATTTGTTCCAAGAACTTAGGTCACTAGCCACTTCGAGGCAGTGTCCTCCTGATTTCGTGTAAGTCAGACAATGACTCACAAAACGGTACATTTTACACGTTTATTGAATTAGCGAAACAAGAAACAAATGAATCAACGAATGCCTCTTCTTAACAATAAATTAGAAAAATTGAAATCACTAAAAAAAAAAGGTTTAACCAGAGACAACTTTGACCCTTCAACATCACATCATAAAATTATCTTATCGCATACAGGGTGTTCATTTGACGAGTTTTGTCATTCGAATTTTATGTATAGGTATTGTGGCATATGCATTGATTATTCTCCTTGTTTTTTATATAAATTAGAAAGTACTATTAGCCATTGTTTGTTGTAATTATCAAGGTTAATAGAATAGTTCGTTCAAACGATTACACAATAAATTAATTAAAACAAAGAAGGTTTAATGTTTTTCTTATTATAATAAATGTAGTAGATAAGTTGAATTTTAACAAATATATTTCAACAGCGATTTTCCACTTACGTATGATGCAGGTTAACGATGTAATAGACGTTTCCTCACATGAATTATTTCGTACAAAGGAATTACTTCACAAAGAAAAATTTTGTAATACCTACAGAAGTTCATGAAACATTTAAATAAAAATATGTTGTATAAAAACTTCAATAGCAGAATAAACAAGTGAAAATAAACAAAGAAAAGAAAGCTCAATTATTATTTTTGTAACTGAACAAATTGTCATTTAATAATAAGAACATTTTCAGGTAACTTGGTCACTTCCTTGTGACAATTTTCTACTCAAAAACAAAGAAAAATTAATAAATGTTACATTAGAAGAGGGAGAAAGTTAGAAAACAATATTATAATAACAGGTGCCTGCTAATAATTATTTTAAGTAGTTGTTAAACCAAAGCATGGGTAAACATTTTTATTCATACTTATTAAGCAGTCAAGCGAAAGTAGACAATTAAATCTTTTATCACAACGTAAAATGTATAACTTCTCTTGCACTTTCTTCTTAACTGCATTAATTATAAGTAATAGGAACTACCCTAAACATTTTTAGTATAAATATAAATAAATCATTCACTGTTTTTTAATAATGTCATTTTGTCTAATTGAAATAGTGTTTGTTTTATTATTTTCTTTTGATAATATCGGTAACAATAATAAATATATGAACACAGCTCCAAAAATTAAAAGGGTGTAACATGAAAATTCAAGTTCCATTAACAACAAAAAGAAAAGCCTTCACCTGAGTTCAAAAATGAATACATGGGGATGCCCCTGAGTACTTTTTCATTGAGTCATTTTTCAAATCCATGGCTAGGGGGCGTCACAGTTAACCAATATTGAAGACTTTTCCCGAAGGACAAATTTACATTACACTGATTTTGCCTATATTACTAACAGGAAAATCCCAATACCAGAGACCAATAACTAATGACAATGCCAAAAATCCCATACTTGTATTAACATTATGAGTAAAAGCAATTTTTTATTTAATTATTTAGATAGATAAAATAAAGAAAATAATTTAAATAGAAGACCTTATCTTTCAGTTTAGGTTGATAACTATATTCAAAGTACCCTCTTAACTAATCATGAAGAATAATTTACAATTGTTATTACATATTATAATTTTAATCAAATAACGTATTTATTATCTCTATTATGTTTTTCTAGAATTTGAATTTATAAATAAAGTTTTTAATTTACGTAAGTAAGCAAAACTTTTCTAGCTTAATTAAAGCGACACGCACATTTGTGAGATTATGTTCACTGTTTATGTTTTCATGTTAATTAAAATAATTACAGACACCAATTTATTAAACATTTGTACATTTAATTAAATAAAATACAGAACAAACCAGAGAAAGGATCCAGAAAGCTCTCTTTATATATTTACCTATACCTGCATATGTCTGTACGATTTTATAAACAAACTTTCTCTGTCAGGGTCAGACTAATTGTGGACTAATCTTACAGTAAAAACTTTTTATTGTTGCACTACTTAACAATACACGCCAGTAGCAATCAAATGCCTTTGTCCATAAAATTTACTCATAATAATCATAAGTAAAATTACTATTTTTTTCATCTCTTAATTAAACAGTAACATCAAGAGAGAAAATAATACGGAAAGAAAACCTCATCACTACAGGGTAAATGTTACTGTAAACAAACTGATTATCGTAATCGCAATTTTCAATAAACGTATGTAACAGAAATAAATATTATATTAAAACGAATAAACACAACTATTATTTTCAGGCATATCTAATCGGATTTACATAATTCTATATTTCAAAATTACAGTATGTAACGTAAAATGGCTCAGGTCGGATATTAATTAAATAAAAAAATTAAAAACTTGATGAACTCGCGACTAGTAAAATATTAATTATAATGGGAATATTAGCACCTATTCTAATGATCAGTAACAATAAACCTAATACAAAACTATCTTGACTTCCGTATCTATTTTTATTTCAAAAACAATTCTTGTTTCTCTTAACTACTTGCATAATTACGTATTCATACTAAATCCTCTAAAAAAACATAATAAATTATTAGTTAATTTGAATAAGCAGGTAGGTACTGTTGATTCTTATTTTTTTAACACAATCTTTAATTCGTTACTCTATCCATAATCAAACATATTAGTATTTGATTAAGTACAACAGTTTCGAAAATTATAATAGTCATAAAAGGATTAAAATGATAGTACGAAACCGGAAACAGGTAGGGCCAAGCATAATAAGAGGAATACAGAATAGTGACATATATGCTACTCTGCATTAGGTACTAATTATTATTTATTTGGGCAGTTATCCGTATCATTGCATGCAAATTTACATTTTGGTACAAAACAAAACTTAGTTTTCTAATATCAAATTTCAAATGAAATTTTAATTCTTTTTTAAGTTCCAAAATAATTTATTGAATTAGGGACATAATAAAAAATACTGTCACTTTTTTTTAATTTTTATTTTATGAACACAATAATAATTCTTTATTTTTAAAGCCCAAGAGCTGCCCTCTACATCACCTGTAGGTGATTTCCCTTTCAATATTCCAATATGTGCAGTCTACATAAAATTTACATCATTGTCCAGGAATAACGAAAAATATGGAAAGTGGTATTACACGAAATATGTAATTTCAATATTTTTTTGTGAAATTAATTGTTTAAGCATAAACCTCATTAACTTTTAGACACCAGAAACAAAGTCCTACTTTCAAAAACAGTTTTACATATCCTAAATTTATACCGTACTCGCACGTATATCTATAACTGCAGTAAATTCTTCCAAACACGGAACTACAAACAGTTATACAAACGAATTGTCTTTAGATACAAATAAGTATTATAGAATGAAACTTTTCATTACAATTTATAATCTACCTAACAAAAGAATTAGTTTTCCGCACTTTCTTGTAGCTATACAAATAATAATTCAAAAACCAATAGCTTTCTCGAAAGTATCTATCTGTTTCACCAAAATTGTAGCTACTTTCTTCGGTGTACAGAAAAGCCTTACAAAACTAATAAGAAAAATTGTCTAAAAAAGCGCGTGCCATATGCGTATGCATTTCCGATTGTGAGACTTACCTACCTTAATTTTATGTATTACACTATACCTTAGACTTTCAAAAATAGATGAATTAAGGTTTGCTGAAGTTGGTCGAAAATGAGACCAGAATAACAATTTGCGCGCATTTATTAAAACACTCACTCACTGAAATGCCACATAACTGACTCTCGCTGTCTGTCCACTCAAAACACGGTCTCGAGCAAGACTGGCGATGTAAGAGAATTAATAAAATGCACGAAGAATCCCATCAAATGCGCTCAAATTGGGTCACACACAAGTAATTTCAAATCCGGCACCAATAATACATCATCAACGCTAACCGAAGTTCAACACTTCTTTCAGACACTAGTATTCTTATACCTTCAGCTCCCGAATAAAGGTGAATAAACAAAAGGACTAACAGGTAAAGGTCAACAACATTTAGATCACTGTACGTAGAGGTGAAAAAACCAAACGCAAGTTACAAAGTAAAAGTTGTATTTCATATTCTTTCAAATGGTTGAAGCAAAATATGAAGTGTAGATGCTGAAGTCAAAATAAACCCTATATAACACATAAATTTTCTTCAATAAAAATTATTAAATTTTTGACCACAACAATCGCTAAACTCGCATGGACAATTAAGCAAGGCTGTTTAATAATATTTAATAAAAAAAGTAATCATGATCAATTAACTATGCACCATATACAGTATATCATACTTATAGAGCGACATAATATCACTCAAGTTATCAAACCATTAAAGACCCATCAAATAGTTTAAGCACAGTTTATCATTAAGCTCGTTTATTGTGATTATGGGAAAATGAGCAATCGTCTTGAAATTTCAACTTACCCTACTTACCCACATCTTTTTGGTAATGAGATACAGTAATTGTTTAGTGCATGCTTGATTAAAGCGTACAGTTTTAACACTTGAAACAGTACAGAATTTATAAACAAAAATGTTTTACAATACATAACCTGATGTATTTAATCATCTGCAAGGGCGCATCTACTACAAACGTATTAAATATTGCGCATGTAACGACAGAATCGGACTTGGATCCTTTTCTTCCTTGGAAATGAGTATTAAATGAGAAAAACTGTTTTATTTAAAATATTTATTCATAAATATTACATAGAACACGAAGAAAAAAACAATTACATTAATACACAAATTATTCTTACTTGCAATAAGAATGCAATTTTCTGTTCCACCCCAATTCTAATTTTACTTGTTTCTTCTACATCGTAGGTGGGCAGATGTTTGGATTTCTCAAAATTGACCTACAATAAGATATGATGAGGATTGTTTAGTAAAATTTAATTAAAGTACCTTCAATAAAAGTGCAAAAGTTGCTTAAACTGTAGAAATGTTTCGCACCTTCTCCACGTCCTCTTCAAAGCTGTAGTGTATTTCCTACATACAGTAATTATCAATGGTGTGAGGTATAAAAGAAAATTGTTAAGATATTTTTAATGATTTATTACACAAACAAAGATTTTGGCAAACTTTTTAAAATATTACACTTTTTAACAAAATTGGAAGTAAACTAATGGCAATGGTGATTATTAGACTATTAAACAACAATTAAAATGATGCCTACTTACTGAAATAAAACAGCTGTTTTCTTATTACTAAAGAGGCTGATATGCACACAAAATGACTTAAGTTTACTAAAATTGTTGAGACGTAATAATTAAAAATACATACTTTTAGAAATACAATAAAAAAGAGATAATATTAATTCGACTTGACTTGTACAGCCGCTACATAAATTACTTCTTATTGAAATATCAATAAAAATCTTAACTAGCAAATCATTTATAATATAATCGGCAATCACTTAATAAACATGAATGTATGAAGATATTTTTTTTTTGATTATGTAAACAATATTTAGATTTTTTTCAAATGACCAAGTAACAGTTTCAAATGTTTTCAAGTAATAGTAAAACCTATTTAAATATGAACCTTTATTGCCGTCTTTTGATATTAAAATTAAAAGATATGCGTTGATTATTTATTTTTATTAAGCCATTCACCCCTGTTCCCTTCCACAATTTCACACTGCTGTTGCCTTTATCTTACTATTCTAATTACATAGTTAATCAATGATTGAGAAACGCCAAAAAACAATGAAGGAAAAATCGAATAAATGGAATACAAAAATATTTATGTATTTTAAAAGATTTATAATAAAAAAATTCTGAAAACTTTTGAATATGGTACTTGGTCAGTAAATCTGATTAATTCTTACTAAGCTAAATTTTTCTTGTTCTTGGGTTCTTTCCCGGCTTAAGTTACAATACGCTCTGCAGCTTTATCATCACATACCTATACACCCTAAGGTTTACAATAATAACACAAATGTGATAATGTTAGTCAAGTAAATTTACTAAAATTAAGCCGCTTATATTATTTAAACACTGAGAGAATATGGGAACTTGTATTACGTACGTAACATACATACATAAGACACAAAGTCATTTGTATTTTTTTTTTTGATATATGTATATTTTACGCGGAGTATCGACTTAATAAAACATAATAAATTGTTGAAACAGGTTTCATTGAGTACCTACAACTAATGCTAAATTAAATTAAAAGTAAGAATAATAAGCGTTGGTGTGCAATAAATAGTAGGGACGCCCATTTTTTTTTTTTTTACGAAAAACCTCAAGCTTAAGGGATAAAGAAACGAAACGATACGATTTCTATTACTCTCAGAAAATCATTTTTGAGCTGCAATTTTTTTCATTAGCTTTCAAATTTTCGTTGTTTAAATTTTCTTTCCAAATCTCAAAAACTTAAAATTTCGGTTTTCCATCGCACCCTTTTTAAACCGTTCACTGTATAGTGTGTAACAAAAACAGACAGCAAAAAAAATACAACATACCACCACCTTTATGTATATTCTACTCATTACTTCGTGCTAAAAATAATAATTTAATTGAGAAGTGTTTTTCTTCATTTTATACATAAAAGTGTAAATGTCTAACCACTTTTGTTACACCTTGGATACAGTTTATGAGAAAAACTAACATTAGAAAAAGCGTGAGATCCACAAGAATTTAATTTGATATTTTTATGAAATTTGCATTTTACCATTTGTGACTAGAAACGGTCTATGAAAATAAAAACAATTTGGTTTAATTTGGCTATTAGAATTTGTAAAACGTATGTAACAACAATTTAAAATTCTAATTAAATTGTCCTTGCATTAGAATTGCGTATTTTTATTGCGCTGCTTGTCGTTATTTTCATTTGAAATTTATTTTTTGACATCATTTCGTTTTCGCAGAGCTAGCTGCAGTTTGTACTTTTACTTACTAACAAAACTCGGTATACTCATAATTGACAAATTTTTGAACCTTTTCACCCAGGAGATCGAAGTTATTAGTTAAATAATAAACCGGTCATTAAAGAACTGAGATCTTCGTTTGGAAAGACACTGGATATGTACCAACAAAAGATTAATAAATTTCATGCGCAATTTGTATTTAATATACAGGATATCTTTAAATCGGAAAAAACACTATGTAAAAACAAAAACTGCTGTATATAAAAATGGACTTTTTGTGCTGCAAACTGCATTTTATTGCGAGTGTTTCCGTAATACTAAAATTAATTAATTCGGTAATTATTTGTTTTTTTCCTTTTAAGATCCACTATTATCGACCAAAAAATACACTTCTTTTTTGTTTCAATTTACAATATAATTTTTTTAGATATTTCTCTGAATAAATCACTAATTTACAGTTGAAGACAAATTCGAAGCAATTTCAACCAAATTGGAAGAAAAAACTTCGAAAATAATGGAATGTTGTCTGAACCAGTTGGCATCTTATTGTCTATAAGTTTCAAAAATTAGCTACCGTATATACAACATGCAAAATTATCTGTATTTTTTGTGTTCACTTATTCGTTCTGTTTTTTTGTTTTTTAGAATATGCGCTCTTTATACAAACATTAACAAATAATTGTAGTATTTATCATGCGCAGCAATAGTGTTGCTGATAATAATGAGATTTTAATATAGTAGGTATCCAATTTAAGCAAATAAAATACATATGAATCCTAATCGATAAAATACGTGATTTATATAAAATCATTGGTTTGATGACCAATAATGAAAACAGCTACTACGCATTAAAACAAGTTCCCTTTACATTAAAATCCGTACTTTTAATAACTGATTAATAAAAACAAATACGGAGCCTTTTTTCAGTATTAGTTTTCAAACCTATACAGCTTTATTACCCGCGACGGGAGAGGGAGTGAGCGTACATAAATGTATTTCTCTATTATCCTCAAACGACCTGCTTCCACATCTTTTTTATTTTGGTGTTGTTGTGATATAATCGGTCCCCCCAACCGCATTCCTTTATTGCCAAAACTGTATACGAAATGAGCTATTCGATTAAAAAAGTCGTATCAAAATATATAATCGGACTTTGTTAATATTCCCAATCATGTACGCTACCTCCCTGTAATTGTGCTTAAAGAACGTACACTTTTGTACGCTGCTTATTATACCATCATGGGAGCGGCAATTATAAAAATTAATTGCCACCCCCAACATCATTACGCCATAAGTAAAAATAAATATCATATAAATAAGAATTTGTATCCTAAAAATAAAGAAATTACCATAGCATTATTATTGAAATTCGTGATTTTATATAAATACAGAAACAGGGCTGCAAGTTAAAAAAAATTAGCAAACGAAAAAATCATATACACTAAAAGGTGTTATATCTACTTTGGAAAGACCTGGTCTGTAATAATAATAATAATATTAAGTTTTAAAGCTATGATCGTGGTTGTCGTCTAAAATCGTGGCACTTGATATCGAGACACACCAATTAATTCCTCAAAATATTTTTCACATAAAATACAACTATTAGTGTGACCCAATTATGATGAAAACGCTTATAAATTTCGATATGTAGAACATTTCAAGTAGCTACAAAAAAGTTCTCAGATTTATAACCGATTTTTGTACAGCCCCTAGAATTACAATTTTTTTCTCTCTCCTAGTTTATTAATGTCATACAAATTCTTATGTTATCAAACTTATGTTATGTTATCGTTATTTTCATAATTCGGCCACTGTACACTTATACACATAGTGACGACAACGATTAGCTCAAAAGGTATTATTTTTAGGAGTCTTACTGCAGCTTGTTGCATCAATAAACAAAATCAGTAAGTAGTTTGGCACAGTAAAATATGCAACACGAGACTTCCTTTAACATCTTCGTTCCCTTGTCCCACATACATCACATTAACAACGGGCATTGCCAAAGGTGGTAGTTAACAATTTATTTTCAAGTAATCTTACTTAAGTACCTTAAGTACCATGGAAAGTGTTAAAAATAAGCAAAAACAAGGTAATACACATCATTACCTTCATAAGCTTAAACGAAAAAAAAAAAATAAATTGAAAAATAAAATACGATACGCAATAAAAAACGTAAAATACATACATTATAGGAAATGTAATGCAAAAAAAATACTGACATACTAATTGTAAGTGAACATACTTTTAAAAATGTATGAAGTTAAAATCATAAAACTAATTCCATCACGCTTTGCAAGATTAAAATGAAAAATAAAAAAAAATTGTTTGGAAAATCGGTGCATATTGAGCAAGAAAATTATCGAGACACATGGGTACCTACTAAAACAAATAATCGACACCAACTTTTTCCTATCACAGAACCCAGAAAGACGAGGGTTTTATTGCGAATGTGATACAACAATCTTTGACGATACACACCATCCACCTACCTCCTACCATATCTATCTAAAACTAACCTATGCAAGAAAAAGGAAAGCTTTTGTATAAAATGTAAAATTATGACAGTTTCTGTGACTAGAACTGGTGGTCGAGTGATACATAAACGCACACAAAAAAAAAAATAAGAAATAACCACCACTTTTCTGTAAACAAAACCAAAGAAAACTATCAAAAACAGAACAATTAACGAGAGAGACAGAGCGAAAGAGAGAAATACGTGACAACAGGGAAACCGTTCGCTTTTTTCCTTTTTATTGATGCAACATGCCACTGAGGAGAGTGAGTGACGAAGGAGGCTAACAATAAGAAAGAAGAAGGTTCATTTTAACTCGTTCAAGTGCTTTGTACCCTTTCCGTTTGGTGACAACAATAAATGCTTTTTAAGCGAAATACATGACCTTCTTGGTGTCTGCATGTACAGTGATAGCTCGAGCCATGGCTCCCGGAGTCCGATCTTCAGATGAACCGGACTGATGAGAACCCTCCCCACTAAATGACAAGTAATAACATTGTACATAATTATTTCCATCTCAGTGTACTATTTTATATTAATTCCTACCTGTCATGCTCCTTTTCGACTAAATGGTACCTAGCTCGGAATGCAACGAGATGGGCGTAATAGGCAGGTGCTGGAATGGATACTGAACGTGTGCAACGAACGTATGTGTGACACAACTGATACGTCAAACATTGCAACTCGTCCGAATCGAGGTGTGAATCATCCCACAGAACGTGGTAGTGGGATGGACGGGATGTCCCCTAGAAACCGCAAAAATTAACAACAAATTATAGGAATGTAAAGTTGTAAACCTTAGTATCTGATTTTATCTTAATTAAGTCTTCAACTTAATAGGTATGAAAGTAAAAGTACTTAAAATGATTCCAGTAAATACACTCGTAACATTTAGAAAAAAAATCGGTACCTGGATACCCTGATGACTGCACAAGTAAAAATCGAACTCGGTCGGATGAGTAATGCCCCCATCCACAGTGGTACCTGCTGGAATGTTTCCACTCTTTCCACTCTGTTCTTTCTTGTCGGCGCAAAATAATCGAGTATGATGCCGTTTCTGAACCACTATAAACGTGATACCCGGCTTGTAGTCCGCCTCCAGCTTAATGCAAGCTTCTCGAATAGCCGTCAGTTCGTGTTGTAATAGCTGCAAGAACTGACCCTCCGAGACACCGTCGCGGTACAAGATAATACGATGAGGTTTATAACCACCTGAAAATAATGCACTTGATATTCAAATTTCATTTTAAAAGAATAATTAATCAATTAATGCAATTAATAACTACGTTCAATTACGTACCTGTTGATTTATAAAACATTATCAGTAATTCTCTAACCATAGAGCTGAGTTCTTGGATAATTTCCTGCCGATGCTGTTGAACTCGAACAGTGGCTGCATACCTTGAAGGGTGTGCATCCATTGAACCGACTACTGCTGCAATTGAAGGTTTTTTGTTGTCACCTGCTGGTGGATGAGTTACGTCCGCACCCAAGAAGATAACGGGCTCATTAAATATCTAGAAACAATGAACATAAATATCTTATTAATTAACTAATAACACAATTACCTTTGGTCTAATAGATGGCACTAAGATGCTATTAATTCCTCCCAGTTTCACGTTTATTTTGAGGCATAAATTGGATAATGTCTGAGGGGAAGTCTTGTTAACGTTTTTCGCTTGAACACATTGGGTGGCCATACCTAAGACTGTGTCACCTACCCTTTTAACTTCGGCTAAAACAGAGGAACAAAAAATATACTTTTCTCTAAAAAGTCACCAGAAAATAAAAATAAAAAAAAATAAACTTCTAAAAAACAGTTAAAAGGAAAGGATTACCATAAACAGGTGTTTTTCCAGGAAGCACAACCACTACAAGTTGCAACGCCTGGAAGGTGGACTTGAGATACCTGAACATAGGCTCCACTTGGTCAGGGCCTGTGGCATATTTACAAAAGCATGGCTGTCCTATTATCGGCATACCAGCGTCGTTTGAGATTTTTTGCAGTTGTTGGTTAAAATTCCTGAAACAAAAAAAATTTTTACACAACTACTCAATGTACATTTTAGCAATAAAAACTACCTTAAAGCATCTTCACGGACAGTTCTTTGTGGAGCGAAGCACGCCATAGCCCAAACACGTATTTCAACTCCTGTGAAGAACTGTTTACCTCTCATGTCCCAGACCCCTTGGTTAGGCATGGCTTGCTGTTTGCTCTGTAACTATGAGACAAACTGGACAAACGCTTAACACTCAAAAATAAAAAATTTTACAAATACGTAACAATTCTCAATACAAAAAAGCTAATTTGGAAAGAGATTACTAGCAAATAAGCATCAGAAAAAAAAATCACTACTGTGTCTGAATGCTTTATAAATTTAGTGCAGAACACAAATAGAAAATAATTTTTTAATGAAGCAAAAGAAAAACATCAAGTACTATGGGTTAACTTAACTCAAAAAAAAAAAACACTTAATCCCATAAACTACACATTCAATATCAATTACAAAATATTATTGAACATGACTTTAAGGAATTTGATGTTCGATAGATAGAAAGCTACTACAATCTAGGATAGGAAATACAACATGAAACTGACGTTCCAGCCCACCTGTCCGCTCAGGGAGGCGACTCGTCCACCGTATTGTAATTTAGGCGGTGGCAAAACACGACCCCGAACTTCCATCATGTTGTTGCTTATTGTCAAACCGAACTCCTGTACATACGCGTCGTTATTGAAGTCCGCCCTCCTCACAAGGTTGTTGATTTCACGTTCACGGTCAGGTGCCGATCTAAATAAATTCACAATGAAAGTACCATAAGTGATATAAGTATTAGTAAACACTAGCATCGTTCCTAAAGTAAATTATTTATTATTATTAAGTAAAGGATGGATTTACCTTGCAGTGGCCTTGATCATAGTGGATGTCTGCATGTCAGTCAGTTTTTTAATACACCTCTGACCTGCGACAATGTTGCAAACTTCTAGGGGTAAATATGTGTGCTTGTGTTCTTGCCCAACCTAACATAAAAAGAAATAATTATATAAAAAAGAAACTTAATCATCAACAACAACTTACTTGAAGACACGGAAGGTGTGGATATCTCAGTTTCATTTTGTACTTGTCCAGAAAATATTTAGCTACCGTGCATTCGACAGTTTGTCCGTTATCCAACTGGAGGGGGAATCTACATATATTCACATTATTAGGTAAAGGCAAATTACTAATTTGAATTACTTACGATTGCATCTGTGCAGGTCGTCTTGTAACGTTACACACCCTGTATTTTCTTCGCATTGTACCGCAATGTGTTATTTCAATTTTCAAACCTTTTATCTCTTTCGTAAATTTAACACGTTGACTATCAGTTAAAGGTTTTCTTTGCTCGTTTATATCTCGAATGTCCAATACTTCGCACATAAACTCGATTACAGGCTGTGCTTTGTAAAATGCAGTTGCAGAAACTAAAAATTTATCCTTTATAAATACTCCTATAATATTTAGATAATATAAAATTACCGTCAATATTGAGCATCATTTTCCACTGGCTTGGTCTTACTGACTGATGAAAACCAAACCAGACTTCCCTTCCTCCTCCTGAATAAATAAAACAAAAAAATAAATAAACCACATCCTTCCAAACAACTAAACAACCACAAATTTAAAAATAATACAAACCTAAAGGATGATAATATCCTTCTGGGCTACTAAAAAAGCTTCTCCCCACAGGGGTGTAGCTCATAGAAGGTAAATGTCGCATTACCACATCTAGGGCTAAAATTGCTTCGTAAGGTATTTGTCTCGTTCTACCTTCTAGAGCCTCTTCTAAACCATAGAGAGATACCTGAGCCACCCATTTTATTGTTACTCTGAAAATTCTGTCTTTGCCCTCTCCCGGGAGGGTGACTTCCAACTCTTCACGAGAATTTCCAATGGGTAACGGATCTCTAGTATACAAATTGTTTCTGCCGTCAAATACTGGTTTTAGGTTACCAAATATTTTACTATAAGCATGAACCATAGTCTCTATAATTTCTCTGTTTACCTAGATTCGATAAGAAAAAATGTTTTTAGAATTATAAAATCTCATACAAAAAAAGATTAGTAAATAAATAAGGTTGCAATAACAAAGAACACATAAATTTATGTTCAATCAAACAAATCTTTTTTAATTTTATCAAAATAGGGGCATATTTTCATAAATTTGTAATTACTTTAACAGCACTACGTTAAAAGTACTGGATCTGTTTCATACTTTTAACTATAAAAAAATATTTAAGAAAATGGTGACACTAGTAATAGCAATAAAAAAGGAGTTATTATTTTTTGTATACCTTCCGAGGACATTTATCTGGCTGGATTGTCACATCATAGTGATGCACATAGCCCCTTGGCATAGTTATTTGGAAGTGGTTTGCTTTGAGGACTATGGGACGGCCTTCCCGTCCCAAGTTGGGACGTCGGGGACATTGAAAATGCGGTGGATCAGGAGGGGGAGGCAATGCACTTCCTCCAGTCCCCGGTAAGGCCACAGCTGTAGTTGTTGTGCCCAAAGCAGTCGCTGATGTGCCAGCTACGAAAGATAAAAATTATTTCCTCTTAATCCAACACAACCCTTGATTATTATTATAAAAATAGGAAATTGTGAGTTAAAGCAACAGATAAAACTCACTTATCAATTTCCGCATTTACCTATATAAATATGATAGGTGAGTTTTATTTTTGATTTATTACATATAATGAAATTCCAACAAGTAAAAGTAGAATCAGTTAAGAATAAAACCACAGAGCAATTGTAATTACTATAATAAAATATGTTCCAACTCCAAATAATCTCCAGCATTTTACTAAAGAACCAGTAGACTTTCCATTTCTCAACAACTTACAATTTTGCTGTGAAGTGGAATTATCCCTTTCATACCAACCCATTTCGCGCCTGTTAATTGTTGCACGTAATAATCGGCGCCTAGACGTTTCGCGTAAAATGTACTCTACCATAACGTCTGTCATGGGGTGTTTTTCACCAACACCCAGTCTCTTAGGCCGTTCTTCAATGGCAGTCGAGCCATCCGAAGATGATGTGGAACTCGCCATTTTGATTTAACTTCCTCTGTATATGAATCTAAATTTTGCAAGCTCGCACTTTTGCAACGCACTTAAACCATGTAATCAACGTAATTATTAATTATGGGATTATTTCTGTTTGCCCTTTTAAACTAAGAGATGTCATAAGAACGAATATTGAATATAAAAAGTGAATAACGAAGGCAACAAAGTTTAAAACGTAAAATTCCATATCGTAACTGTTATTAATCTTTAACAAAAACCCACGCAGAATGCGATAAGAGACTGCGAACCGTCTGAACAAAATTATAACGGCATGTAGGTACCTACCATTGTTTTACATTTCAACTTAAGTTGCAAAAATAGTTAAACATAGTATACGGTAGTTATTCTAGTAAATATATTTTTTATAATCATGTAATTTTGAACCCCCTTTTAACGCTAGGTAACGTTTTGCTTAACCCCCTCCCAACGTTATGTAGTACCTTAATGGCCATTTTACCTAAAAATGTTACTATATCGCGCAAAAAAACAGCAAATTAGGTACCGGTACTAGTACAAACTCTACGTTGGTATTGGTACTGCCTTCCAGTTTTTCTGTCAGCAGATTTATTGTATCATCTTATTTTATTTAACGAAAACACGTTGCATAAGGAGTTGCTTAACCCCCTCCCACTCACTACGATCTTGCTATGAATATCCACATCTCGGAAATCAGAATTATTTAAGAAAACCAATGTTAAGCGAAACATGTTACATGTTAACTAAATTTGTGTCTTCATGAAGTTAAAATCGAACGTATTTAATTATAATCATTTTTTCACGTGTAGGTATCGATAGGTACTGATGGCGATAGGCAGAAGCACAGAAGATACAAAATCTCATAAGCCCAAGCTCTCAATCACTCGATAGCCCTGCTTATGCTGTAGAATTAATTTTAATTTGATAAATTGCTCTTAACAACACTATATTCTAGAATTTATTTTAAAAGATACGTAACAAACAAGAGCAAACAAAATCGTTTTCCGCTTGTCCCTTTTTTCTCTTTGATATCGGGGAAAAACGTGATGACAATCCTGTCCCGTCCCCCTTTTAATGCACTGTAACATTTTACAACATCCCCTCCCTCTACCTGCGTTATGCAATACTGAACGGCCCCGGACTGCATAACTATTGAATAATTTACAATTCAAAATTAAGAAAACGTTTTTTATTCATTGCACATAAAAATAAATAAATATTACTTTAATAGCGACAATTTATTAATGAAATAGAATAAAGAGTGTTCAGTGTGATTAGTTCATTATTTTTTTTTTTTAATTTCATTGACACTACTTATTTACTGTTTGAGATACCATGCCTTCGCGAAAAACAAAAGCCACCTAAAATTTTAACACATATTTTAACAGCGCTTCCTGCCTCCTGCCACAGACAACCCCTTTGTTTGTTCTAACAACAACGGCGTCAACGTAATTATTTCTGGAAGACGTCCAGTCTGCAAACGGAGTACAAAAAGACTCAAATCGATAAATTTGTAATGGGATTAGGTATGTCAAGGAAAAGATCTCGACCCTAAATTATGTAATTATAATATCCCCATGTAATAGGCATTTGAATACACATATAATTAACACGTAGGTAATTTATTTAGAATGAGAAACTCCTTTAAAAATCGATATTTTGCAGAATGAGAAACTTCTTTAAAAATCGATATTTGTTCGACTTATAAATAAAACCTTATGTAGGTATTATATTAAATACCTAGTTATGTGACAATTCGTTATCTAGAACTTGGAAACCATTTCGGGAAATGTCCCAAATAACAGGTGGAATGCACATCTTTCCTAGACAAATCAATAAATGCAATCGACACTGGACGACAGACTCGAGTCAAAGTTCACTGAACTTTGCAGACAAAATTGAAAACTAATTTAGAATTCGGCAACATGGCATAGTTAATAATTTACGCTTTATAATAAATGTGATTTTCTGTGTTTAATAATAAATAATACCGAATTATACAGTTATCAATGCATTTTCGTTAATAAAATTTAAAACTAAAAAATTCTACAAAAAAGAAAATCGATGGAAGAGGATCCCCTTATATTAGATACCTATTTTTTATTACTATAGTTATGAACTATACGACTTGGCGATTACAAAAGCCCTTTAACAAGTAAATATATAAATCAATGACAAGGTAAAAAAAATAGGTCACGTTTCCTCAATGTATCATTGGTCAATATAAAGCCAAAAATCTGTTATTATTTGAATATATTTGATTATTATTCATTAGTACCTACTTAATTATTATATCAGACCACTCAGTTTTAAACGCCTGGGGAATGCCAGACTTATAAATAAACATCGTAAATTTTTGTCTTTGTCATAACCTCAATGAGGCACAAAAATTATATTTCAAATTAAAATAGAGAACACGCCAACATCTTAAAAAAAAAACGCTACATTGAATTTGGTCTTGTTGGAATTTTGCAGGAATCAATGTGTATTCCAAATGAACAATCACATTCTCAGAAACGATTGTTCTTATGTGTAACCTAAAAGCTAACAGTTAAATGAACAACTGGCAACGTCCTTTTGTGATTCTCACGGGCGACTTTTCGAATTTTACTTTTCATTAATTTAATAGAAAAACTTACGCCCTCCTGGTCCTGAATACATTCTGCTGCGAAAAGTGTAAACACAAGCACACAAGTCGCGAAAAGACACAAAACTATCTTTTCAGGTTACAAAGGGAGGCAGACATTACACTACGAATCTGACGTCACTTCATCGTCAAGTCTGCGCTACACGCTGCTATCTACGACACACTACTCCACTCCGTTTCACTCCACGGACTAGGCGCTTTAAAACAAAAATAAAGACGAAGCGATATCCCTTTCCTTTACCGTCACATACAACAAGAAATGCCGTTTAAAAGGCTAAAAATCGACTCGCACGAATGTTGAATGAATAAAAATTGAACTAGTTCTACAAACGATTTAATTTTTTTTTGTAAAGAGTTTCTAATAAAACTTAAGGAATAAAAGCAAAATTTAACTTAAATTGCAATTATAAAAGCATTCTTTAGTTTTAAAGGCTTCCTTTTAATGATAACCACTTCACGCATGCTCGAACGAAAAATATTTACGAAATAAATTTAAAAACAGGGTAAGAACATATTTACGACTAACGGAAGACTGAATAGCTTTAACACGTTGTACCCAATCGTGCATATTTGAAAATAAAAGCAATTTAATCAGTATTTGTCCACAAAATAATATACACTTCATTGAAAAAAGTTAAAATTGTAATTTTACAAAGCGTTTGTTTAAACAGCTTGCAAAGTTAATGTGAAACAAGCTTTGCCCAATTATTTCATGTAAGGATTTCTGTGTAAAGTATTTAGACATATTAAAAATCAATCAAACAAATGTCATTACTAATTATAATTTGAATTTTCTAATAAATCGTTAAAATAAAACTACTGCAAATGACCGTGACGTCACGAAACTGCTACCTCACTACGTGACGTCATTTGCATTTTCCCTCCGTTTTTCGAATTATATAAATATGGATTTGTTTTTTCAATGACATAAGCGCATGTATGTAATCAATTAATAAAAATCTAAACGATTATGTGAACAAACAATGCTTCATTTTTAGATTTTTTTCTGGCTTGTTATTAATAAATTTAACGTATGTAGCGGACACATTCACACACTAAAATAATTGAAAGGTGCAAGCAATTTTACAATTTAAATTCAACTGTTACTATGTGACGTGCAGCGTGCAGCAACAATTAATTAATAACTACGTAAATTGTTCAACCGGATAATAAAAATATGATAATAATAAAAATTTATTAACCTGAGTTGGTCTGTATATTTTGCATTGTAGTGTGATGGGAGTTAATCCCTTGGGTTCTGTGAAGTAAACTTAGGGTAGCAATATCAGGCAAAAGTTGCTGGATGCTACCCTGTTGCATACTGTTTATTTCCGCCTCCGTCGACATTTTTATCTGTAAATAAAATTAAATTTAAAATTTTGTAAATCCTTATCAGTTATTTCTTTTCAAACTTTAATTTAGCAATGAATTTAATTAATAGTTAGTAATATCTATTGCAATAAAAAATTTAATAAAACGTACACAAGTATCTGAACACATGGGTACCTAGGTACATAAAAATATACTTTTAAGTGTCTGGCAACACGTGAAGGTTACATTTTTAGTATTACATTTTTCAATTACACCGACATCCAAAATATTTTATACAAGTTTAAAAAATAAATTAAAATATGTAAATAAGTGGAAACGTAAGTTCAGCTTTAATGTTTGATTAACATTATTGCCGTAGTAAAAACGTGTAATTTTGTGATTGACAAAGTCAAGTGCACAGATTTATTTTATTTCATGTAAAGTGTGATCATCGTTAAGTGTATCGTTTCATTACTAATAATTACGCGTTTTGTACAGATAATTAATTAATGTGGTTTTATAGAAATTAGTAGATTTAAAAATGCATTTTAAGAAATTAAGAATTAAATATTAACAAGTACATACCATGTATGTAGGTAATCAAAAACAGTGCCTATTTATGTGTACGTACGATACTGAGAGTATTCAACCTAACATAAAAAGAAATAATTATATAAAAAAGAAACTTAATCATCAACAACAACTTACTTGAAGACACGGAAGGTGTGGATATCTCAGTTTCATTTTGTACTTGTCCAGAAAATATTTAGCTACCGTGCATTCGACAGTTTGTCCGTTATCCAACTGGAGGGGGAATCTACATATATTCACATTATTAGGTAAAGGCAAATTACTAATTTGAATTACTTACGATTGCATCTGTGCAGGTCGTCTTGTAACGTTACACACCCTGTATTTTCTTCGCATTGTACCGCAATGTGTTATTTCAATTTTCAAACCTTTTATCTCTTTCGTAAATTTAACACGTTGACTATCAGTTAAAGGTTTTCTTTGCTCGTTTATATCTCGAATGTCCAATACTTCGCACATAAACTCGATTACAGGCTGTGCTTTGTAAAATGCAGTTGCAGAAACTAAAAATTTATCCTTTATAAATACTCCTATAATATTTAGATAATATAAAATTACCGTCAATATTGAGCATCATTTTCCACTGGCTTGGTCTTACTGACTGATGAAAACCAAACCAGACTTCCCTTCCTCCTCCTGAATAAATAAAACAAAAAAATAAATAAACCACATCCTTCCAAACAACTAAACAACCACAAATTTAAAAATAATACAAACCTAAAGGATGATAATATCCTTCTGGGCTACTAAAAAAGCTTCTCCCCACAGGGGTGTAGCTCATAGAAGGTAAATGTCGCATTACCACATCTAGGGCTAAAATTGCTTCGTAAGGTATTTGTCTCGTTCTACCTTCTAGAGCCTCTTCTAAACCATAGAGAGATACCTGAGCCACCCATTTTATTGTTACTCTGAAAATTCTGTCTTTGCCCTCTCCCGGGAGGGTGACTTCCAACTCTTCACGAGAATTTCCAATGGGTAACGGATCTCTAGTATACAAATTGTTTCTGCCGTCAAATACTGGTTTTAGGTTACCAAATATTTTACTATAAGCATGAACCATAGTCTCTATAATTTCTCTGTTTACCTAGATTCGATAAGAAAAAATGTTTTTAGAATTATAAAATCTCATACAAAAAAAGATTAGTAAATAAATAAGGTTGCAATAACAAAGAACACATAAATTTATGTTCAATCAAACAAATCTTTTTTAATTTTATCAAAATAGGGGCATATTTTCATAAATTTGTAATTACTTTAACAGCACTACGTTAAAAGTACTGGATCTGTTTCATACTTTTAACTATAAAAAAATATTTAAGAAAATGGTGACACTAGTAATAGCAATAAAAAAGGAGTTATTATTTTTTGTATACCTTCCGAGGACATTTATCTGGCTGGATTGTCACATCATAGTGATGCACATAGCCCCTTGGCATAGTTATTTGGAAGTGGTTTGCTTTGAGGACTATGGGACGGCCTTCCCGTCCCAAGTTGGGACGTCGGGGACATTGAAAATGCGGTGGATCAGGAGGGGGAGGCAATGCACTTCCTCCAGTCCCCGGTAAGGCCACAGCTGTAGTTGTTGTGCCCAAAGCAGTCGCTGATGTGCCAGCTACGAAAGATAAAAATTATTTCCTCTTAATCCAACACAACCCTTGATTATTATTATAAAAATAGGAAATTGTGAGTTAAAGCAACAGATAAAACTCACTTATCAATTTCCGCATTTACCTATATAAATATGATAGGTGAGTTTTATTTTTGATTTATTACATATAATGAAATTCCAACAAGTAAAAGTAGAATCAGTTAAGAATAAAACCACAGAGCAATTGTAATTACTATAATAAAATATGTTCCAACTCCAAATAATCTCCAGCATTTTACTAAAGAACCAGTAGACTTTCCATTTCTCAACAACTTACAATTTTGCTGTGAAGTGGAATTATCCCTTTCATACCAACCCATTTCGCGCCTGTTAATTGTTGCACGTAATAATCGGCGCCTAGACGTTTCGCGTAAAATGTACTCTACCATAACGTCTGTCATGGGGTGTTTTTCACCAACACCCAGTCTCTTAGGCCGTTCTTCAATGGCAGTCGAGCCATCCGAAGATGATGTGGAACTCGCCATTTTGATTTAACTTCCTCTGTATATGAATCTAAATTTTGCAAGCTCGCACTTTTGCAACGCACTTAAACCATGTAATCAACGTAATTATTAATTATGGGATTATTTCTGTTTGCCCTTTTAAACTAAGAGATGTCATAAGAACGAATATTGAATATAAAAAGTGAATAACGAAGGCAACAAAGTTTAAAACGTAAAATTCCATATCGTAACTGTTATTAATCTTTAACAAAAACCCACGCAGAATGCGATAAGAGACTGCGAACCGTCTGAACAAAATTATAACGGCATGTAGGTACCTACCATTGTTTTACATTTCAACTTAAGTTGCAAAAATAGTTAAACATAGTATACGGTAGTTATTCTAGTAAATATATTTTTTATAATCATGTAATTTTGAACCCCCTTTTAACGCTAGGTAACGTTTTGCTTAACCCCCTCCCAACGTTATGTAGTACCTTAATGGCCATTTTACCTAAAAATGTTACTATATCGCGCAAAAAAACAGCAAATTAGGTACCGGTACTAGTACAAACTCTACGTTGGTATTGGTACTGCCTTCCAGTTTTTCTGTCAGCAGATTTATTGTATCATCTTATTTTATTTAACGAAAACACGTTGCATAAGGAGTTGCTTAACCCCCTCCCACTCACTACGATCTTGCTATGAATATCCACATCTCGGAAATCAGAATTATTTAAGAAAACCAATGTTAAGCGAAACATGTTACATGTTAACTAAATTTGTGTCTTCATGAAGTTAAAATCGAACGTATTTAATTATAATCATTTTTTCACGTGTAGGTATCGATAGGTACTGATGGCGATAGGCAGAAGCACAGAAGATACAAAATCTCATAAGCCCAAGCTCTCAATCACTCGATAGCCCTGCTTATGCTGTAGAATTAATTTTAATTTGATAAATTGCTCTTAACAACACTATATTCTAGAATTTATTTTAAAAGATACGTAACAAACAAGAGCAAACAAAATCGTTTTCCGCTTGTCCCTTTTTTCTCTTTGATATCGGGGAAAAACGTGATGACAATCCTGTCCCGTCCCCCTTTTAATGCACTGTAACATTTTACAACATCCCCTCCCTCTACCTGCGTTATGCAATACTGAACGGCCCCGGACTGCATAACTATTGAATAATTTACAATTCAAAATTAAGAAAACGTTTTTTATTCATTGCACATAAAAATAAATAAATATTACTTTAATAGCGACAATTTATTAATGAAATAGAATAAAGAGTGTTCAGTGTGATTAGTTCATTATTTTTTTTTTTTAATTTCATTGACACTACTTATTTACTGTTTGAGATACCATGCCTTCGCGAAAAACAAAAGCCACCTAAAATTTTAACACATATTTTAACAGCGCTTCCTGCCTCCTGCCACAGACAACCCCTTTGTTTGTTCTAACAACAACGGCGTCAACGTAATTATTTCTGGAAGACGTCCAGTCTGCAAACGGAGTACAAAAAGACTCAAATCGATAAATTTGTAATGGGATTAGGTATGTCAAGGAAAAGATCTCGACCCTAAATTATGTAATTATAATATCCCCATGTAATAGGCATTTGAATACACATATAATTAACACGTAGGTAATTTATTTAGAATGAGAAACTCCTTTAAAAATCGATATTTTGCAGAATGAGAAACTTCTTTAAAAATCGATATTTGTTCGACTTATAAATAAAACCTTATGTAGGTATTATATTAAATACCTAGTTATGTGACAATTCGTTATCTAGAACTTGGAAACCATTTCGGGAAATGTCCCAAATAACAGGTGGAATGCACATCTTTCCTAGACAAATCAATAAATGCAATCGACACTGGACGACAGACTCGAGTCAAAGTTCACTGAACTTTGCAGACAAAATTGAAAACTAATTTAGAATTCGGCAACATGGCATAGTTAATAATTTACGCTTTATAATAAATGTGATTTTCTGTGTTTAATAATAAATAATACCGAATTATACAGTTATCAATGCATTTTCGTTAATAAAATTTAAAACTAAAAAATTCTACAAAAAAGAAAATCGATGGAAGAGGATCCCCTTATATTAGATACCTATTTTTTATTACTATAGTTATGAACTATACGACTTGGCGATTACAAAAGCCCTTTAACAAGTAAATATATAAATCAATGACAAGGTAAAAAAAATAGGTCACGTTTCCTCAATGTATCATTGGTCAATATAAAGCCAAAAATCTGTTATTATTTGAATATATTTGATTATTATTCATTAGTACCTACTTAATTATTATATCAGACCACTCAGTTTTAAACGCCTGGGGAATGCCAGACTTATAAATAAACATCGTAAATTTTTGTCTTTGTCATAACCTCAATGAGGCACAAAAATTATATTTCAAATTAAAATAGAGAACACGCCAACATCTTAAAAAAAAAACGCTACATTGAATTTGGTCTTGTTGGAATTTTGCAGGAATCAATGTGTATTCCAAATGAACAATCACATTCTCAGAAACGATTGTTCTTATGTGTAACCTAAAAGCTAACAGTTAAATGAACAACTGGCAACGTCCTTTTGTGATTCTCACGGGCGACTTTTCGAATTTTACTTTTCATTAATTTAATAGAAAAACTTACGCCCTCCTGGTCCTGAATACATTCTGCTGCGAAAAGTGTAAACACAAGCACACAAGTCGCGAAAAGACACAAAACTATCTTTTCAGGTTACAAAGGGAGGCAGACATTACACTACGAATCTGACGTCACTTCATCGTCAAGTCTGCGCTACACGCTGCTATCTACGACACACTACTCCACTCCGTTTCACTCCACGGACTAGGCGCTTTAAAACAAAAATAAAGACGAAGCGATATCCCTTTCCTTTACCGTCACATACAACAAGAAATGCCGTTTAAAAGGCTAAAAATCGACTCGCACGAATGTTGAATGAATAAAAATTGAACTAGTTCTACAAACGATTTAATTTTTTTTTGTAAAGAGTTTCTAATAAAACTTAAGGAATAAAAGCAAAATTTAACTTAAATTGCAATTATAAAAGCATTCTTTAGTTTTAAAGGCTTCCTTTTAATGATAACCACTTCACGCATGCTCGAACGAAAAATATTTACGAAATAAATTTAAAAACAGGGTAAGAACATATTTACGACTAACGGAAGACTGAATAGCTTTAACACGTTGTACCCAATCGTGCATATTTGAAAATAAAAGCAATTTAATCAGTATTTGTCCACAAAATAATATACACTTCATTGAAAAAAGTTAAAATTGTAATTTTACAAAGCGTTTGTTTAAACAGCTTGCAAAGTTAATGTGAAACAAGCTTTGCCCAATTATTTCATGTAAGGATTTCTGTGTAAAGTATTTAGACATATTAAAAATCAATCAAACAAATGTCATTACTAATTATAATTTGAATTTTCTAATAAATCGTTAAAATAAAACTACTGCAAATGACCGTGACGTCACGAAACTGCTACCTCACTACGTGACGTCATTTGCATTTTCCCTCCGTTTTTCGAATTATATAAATATGGATTTGTTTTTTCAATGACATAAGCGCATGTATGTAATCAATTAATAAAAATCTAAACGATTATGTGAACAAACAATGCTTCATTTTTAGATTTTTTTCTGGCTTGTTATTAATAAATTTAACGTATGTAGCGGACACATTCACACACTAAAATAATTGAAAGGTGCAAGCAATTTTACAATTTAAATTCAACTGTTACTATGTGACGTGCAGCGTGCAGCAACAATTAATTAATAACTACGTAAATTGTTCAACCGGATAATAAAAATATGATAATAATAAAAATTTATTAACCTGAGTTGGTCTGTATATTTTGCATTGTAGTGTGATGGGAGTTAATCCCTTGGGTTCTGTGAAGTAAACTTAGGGTAGCAATATCAGGCAAAAGTTGCTGGATGCTACCCTGTTGCATACTGTTTATTTCCGCCTCCGTCGACATTTTTATCTGTAAATAAAATTAAATTTAAAATTTTGTAAATCCTTATCAGTTATTTCTTTTCAAACTTTAATTTAGCAATGAATTTAATTAATAGTTAGTAATATCTATTGCAATAAAAAATTTAATAAAACGTACACAAGTATCTGAACACATGGGTACCTAGGTACATAAAAATATACTTTTAAGTGTCTGGCAACACGTGAAGGTTACATTTTTAGTATTACATTTTTCAATTACACCGACATCCAAAATATTTTATACAAGTTTAAAAAATAAATTAAAATATGTAAATAAGTGGAAACGTAAGTTCAGCTTTAATGTTTGATTAACATTATTGCCGTAGTAAAAACGTGTAATTTTGTGATTGACAAAGTCAAGTGCACAGATTTATTTTATTTCATGTAAAGTGTGATCATCGTTAAGTGTATCGTTTCATTACTAATAATTACGCGTTTTGTACAGATAATTAATTAATGTGGTTTTATAGAAATTAGTAGATTTAAAAATGCATTTTAAGAAATTAAGAATTAAATATTAACAAGTACATACCATGTATGTAGGTAATCAAAAACAGTGCCTATTTATGTGTACGTACGATACTGAGAGTATTCAAGGTCAAACCACTTATTATTTTGTTTAAAGTTTGTCGGGTTCCGAAAAGTATCGTAAGCATTAAGGTAAAAATCGTGATGGCACCGAAGGTAATAACGGTGTCGAAAATGAAAGTTAAGCAATTAAAAACGAACATACACAAAATACAACTTATAAAAGTACGAACACATAAACCACATACTAAAACTAATATTCCATACCTATAGTACTTTATCTTTATACTGCGAGAAATTAACTCAAAAACTGATTTTTTTTTTTAATTTACAAAGTAGGCACATTATAGCTTTCGGCTCGTAACAATGAAGAACAACTGCACGGACCAAAATGACTTGGTCGACAAAGTTATATTTTGTTTTTAAACGTGTAAGCCTTCTGCGATTAACCACAAGTAAAATCAGAATTATCTTTCGAAAGAAGCCATAAAAGCAATAATGAAAGTTGATTCAGTTGATTCCGTAGGCCATGTCCTAGCACAATAAATCGGCAAAAACTGTGTGGTTCCTATGCCGGGTTGTGGATACATGTTAAACAAGTTAAATGTAGAAAACATACCCTAGGTGCAAATTCTAGTTGTTGAATGACAGTCGGGTCGGCATTCTGTATAGCAATTTCCTCACCATAAGTCACACCATAAACATACCGTAAACACTGCGATATTTTTGTTAATATTTTTATTACGATAACACTTGTTTTGGATACCTAGATCTCTAGATTCAGCTGTACAATAACGCGCATGCCCGACGCAAGTTCGTCCTATAATAGTTTCTAGCTACGTGCAAACATCGAGAAAGAGAGGGGGGTACCCCATTGAATAAATTACCCTTTCACCATTCAAATTCAATTTTTTTTGACAAATATTCATTGGATAATTTCTTTTAGAATGTATGAGTATAACAAAAACGCATCATAAGGAGTTAACTATAATTTTTGAATTTGAACAACATAAAATTCACAAAATGAAACAAGAAAAGCAGTAAAAATAAAATACTCACAACTGCAACAAAATATGTACATAAATTAAAAAACACATTATTACCGATTTGTTACTATCGAACCGGTCACACAACAATGAAGACATTTTAATTCAAACAAACTCCACCACATGTCAACCTTATCAGTAGCCCACTACAACTGGTACAACTTTTACGCGCATTTCCGCACGGTAAACCGATAAAAAAAATTAAACACGAAAATAACTCAAAGTATCAAAATGCGTTTCGCAACGGGATAGTTATTAGCTTATTGCAAGGAGATATGGCTGATTGCGTTTTGAAATTAGTCTGCCTACAGCCGTAATAAGACTAATCAGAGATAAGCAAAAACAGAAAAACAATTGCGATTAATGATAAGATTCTTTTTATATTGAAAATGTTTACTAGTAACTGCGCACTATTAGAAGTATTTATACATGTGGATAAATGAAAACGGCATAGGTACTTAAATTTTAATACGAAAAGTAATTTTTTTTACGTTATCATCAGTAACAAATTAATATATTTTTTCTTGGTTCCCATACATAAAATACGTATCGCAAAATGCGATTACAACTTCACAATTAAATACTGCAGTCCGTACAATAGTATTGTCTATAATAAAGGAAAAAGAATGTCAATGAACCTGCTGCACTGATAACGTCGCATACATGTGTGCATAACGCATGTAAGTTACTGTATTACAAATTAATACACCGAACGTAAGGTTATTGATACCTATAAATAAACGTATAATTTTTTTTTTTGTAATATTGTCCAAAAAATGAATTAATCTAATTTCATTTAAGTACAATTAATTATTATCAAATAGAAGTTAAAAATGCATTCAATTTACGTTATAAAAAATTTTTAGGACGTTTGCCACATTCGCGTAACTCCAAACCGATCAAGAACCGACTATAATAATTACGTCACACCAACACGTGTGCATTGCACGATGACAGCCAGCGAAACTCGGTTTCAAGGGGGTGGTCTTTTTGTTCAGCGTAATGTTGTTTTATAGCCTGTTTGAATGTAAACAAACTTATTTCTGTAGAGAGAACCTCTGACAGCTTCCTCCGACAACTTTAATTTGCTTAATTTTTAATATTAGTCACAGTAAAACGACGAACTAGCGAAATACGCATTTAAAAATCGAGATTAAATTTAGCGGGCTTTTATCGGCATAGGCCCTTTGTTATTGATCGGCATCTTCTCCGGTGGTGGAGAATATTTCGCTTGGGCTAGGGGATGATAATTTAAAGCAATCGTGATTCTGCGCGACCCTCCATACGGGGACCTTAAAACTTGGTGAATGTCAAGGAAAACGACCACGCGCTGACTCGGTTTTACTTTTACCCTCTACGCAAACATACATACACACATATATCTATCAAAACTGAATTAAAATTAAGATTTAAAAACAGTTATTGATAATTAAAAATACGTCTACAGAATAAGACGTGCTATCTAACTATAGACTGTAAAATTAATTTAAACTCAGCTTAATTACTAAAAATAATTAAAAAGTGTATGTATATTCAATCATCATCATCATTATAAGGTCGTCAGGTATATTTAGTCAAATAACAAAAAAATCAAAGGGTGTACTGAATCAAAAAGTTTTATTTTATTACCAGTTATTGCGATTTTTAATAATTAACATTTTACAGCACATACAAATATGCCTACATAATGTAGTGTCTCATGTATTGAAGAGTGATGTACCATCTTCATCTGGCATCAAAAACAATCACTTCAGAAGCATTAAGGAAAATATGTACAATTAAAAGTAAAAGTAAATTATTAATTTATTAAAAGGATACATCTTTTGGTACGTTTCTTGTACATAATTCGATAACCACATTCCCTGCAGCGTATAGGATCTCTTGGCCGGATTTCGTTTTCGTTATGGCACTCTTAAAGCAAGGGATAATTGAATTATTATAAAACAATTCCCTTACACATTTATAAACTGTTACTTACCACCACAAATGTAAACCATTGGCAATTTAGTCACTGAATCTTTTGATGATGATGGTTCAGACATTTTTTATGTTATTTGTTTTATTTATTCACTTATATCCACTATAAAGTAAAGTATTATGACTAAATAAATGATTAATTTTTAGGATTTAAAGTTGGGTTATGTTCGCCAAAAACAAACGCACATAAATAATGAAATACTCACGTGACCGTATAGTCTATGCGCAGTACTGTACCGATGACGTTTCGTGACGTTTCTCAAGGTTAATGTCGCACGTGCTGCAAATACAAATATGCGCAACTAATGAAAATTAAATAAAAAAAATAGAACAAAATATGTATACCCTATGAAGGTCTTTTGATGCGCTCAATGAATTTTCGCCAGTTCCGAAGTAGCCCTTACATCTTTTAAATTTATCATAAACATTATTGTTTTCCAACTATTAACCAGAATAAATCTCAGCGCAAAATTAATATATTGATGGAAAACAAATTTTTGTTGAACTTATACTATACCCCAAAAACAAAAATCATTTTGTTTCGAAAATTGACTAATTAATCTGCAATCAGTGAGAAATCCCAGAACTCCATCAAACAATAATCGTCCTATACATTAAAAAAAAAAGAAGTTTGCAAATTAACAGTGACGATAAAAAATAATTAAAATGGTGTTAGGTTTTCAAGTAAGAGTAAAGAACGGTCGTAATTATTGCCACTGTTTTAATTAGTTATAAATACTCACAAAATACTTAATACGTTTTTACAATAAAAATATAAATATATTTGTGTACATCTATTACAAAAATAAATAAACTTACTTAATCAAAAAAAATGTTTTTTTCATTATCCTTATACCGAAAATGTATTTTAGAAATAGACAAATGAATGCTGAATTTTCAAGAAAACAAAGTCACTGCTTGTTTATGCTTAAGAATATTCGTTATATGATTTGTGTGCTAAGTTTACTACAGTTTTCAAAAAATTAATATGCTGGAGTACTTATATATCATCCAGTACACGTTCTTCTACAGTCATGTAAATTCCTTCTTCTTCATAAGCAGAATCGTGCTTTGCCAAAATACGTAGAAGAGGTCTTAATTTCAACCACCACTCTTGTTTGGGAATACGATACCTAGAAAAAAAAATTAAACATTAATTTAATTAAGAGTTAAAAATTACGATAAATCATTAAGAATATTAAGCTCTTTTACTCGAAGTTAGTTTCGTTTTTCAGATCTAGTAAGTTGCTCGTCTTGTACTGCCTACGAACTATTCCAAGCAAGACTGCAGTGTCGGGGGTTGTACATCTGGTAACCCCTTCTTTTGTATTTCTATTTAACGTCTCGCCTATCCAATCGACCGCTTTTGAACCCAGTTTTGTTCCTAAGTTACGATCAAAGGGAGTAGGAGAAGCACCTTGCTGCATATGACCTAAAAATATACTCTTTAAAAATTTGTATTTTACTAATATCTTTAGATAATATAAGTTTCCTGGATTTCTTCTGCATTGGTGGTCTTACCAAATGTCAGGGTTATTTACAAGACGTAACACCTCCCAAAGCATTTAAAAANCTTTCGCAAAAATAATTGTAAATGTATATATGTATTGAAGTGTTCCAGGGAAATATGTCAATTTATTGAGCTCAATTAAAATAGTACCAATTTTATTGAGGAATTATTCAGATATGGCACAATTTCTAGGTAGTAAATAAACATTGGTGCAATTTATCTTCTAATAATTTATATTCGATCTCACAAAACAATCAACCATAAATCATAACAAGTACCATTTTGTGAATTTACTATTACTAATTATAAACTAGAAGAAAAGTTTAGGTTTTTCAAAGGTTTTAATTAACTCACCAACTATATTTCTGTATCTTCCGCCCATATATATTCTTCAAATCCATTGGTACTTGTTTTGAACGCAAATGGCACCATATGATAAAAAAAAATTCCAACCAATGCAAGGAACTTATGAAGTGATGCCAATCAATTTTCAGATAAATATGGAAACAATGATATTTTAAATCTTTTCTGCATCATGGCATGTGGTTTAATTTGTATTTTAGATTCTTTATGAAAGACAACAGTACCTCGTCACTTATTCCATGTTGATCTTTCTTTTAGAGTAACTGACATCCGTAATTAAATAATAAATTTGGTATGGTTGACACTTAACTAGTGTGATGCTGGTATGTGAGTCACTTCCATGCGATTGCTAATTGTTACTTTTAACCTCAAACAAAGCATTTTATAATTGAAGAAATTTCAAATTTTTATGTATTACACACTAATAAAAACGTACTTTTTTCAATACAGTGAATAATTCCATTTCACTTTAAAATTTTTTTCAGAAGAAATATAATTTTTCTCTTATCAATTCTATTATGCCAAACGTAGATGTTCATCCTTTGGCAAACAACCCTAGTGCGGCTTGGCGAGAACTATCACAAGAACAAAAAGTGTTTAAACTCAATGTAAAACCTCCATCAAAACCAGTCGAACCTAACAAAGTTAGGTTTGTTTGTATGAGTGACACTCATTCACTTACTCACTACATTAAGTTCGATATTCCAGATGGGGATGTGTTTGTTCATGCTGGTGATTTTACAAAATGTGGTCAGGAGGGCGAAGTACAAGAATTTAACCAGTGGTTAGGTAATTTATTTTAATTTTTAGTGTGTATATTTTGTAAAGTTGACTTATTTTTAAGGAAGTTTACCTCACAAACACAAAATTGTGATAGCTGGAAACCACGAACTTAGTTTTGATCCTTCTTTTGTTCATATTTTTAAAANTTCTTTTCCTTTAATCCGCTGTATAAAATGAGTTTTCAAAATACAACTTGTGGAAGTTTCCCCACGGATGAAATCGAAGTTGAGGGTAACAGCTAGTAAACATACAATTATTATTGGGTATATATATATATATACCTGCCAAAGTAGCTAAATAACCACAATTTCCACCCATCGTTTCAATGATAAAAACTCTTCTTTTGGTCCCTTGTGCCGATTGCCGAATACGATCACAAATTTGCGTGATTTCGTTTAAGGCAGTGTCACAACCAAGTGAAAACTCTGTACCAGGAACGTTGTTACTAATAGTGGCAGGAATTACGACCAGAGCTATGTTCAATTCTGGATACTGCTGACGAGCTTCTGTCATGATAAGGGCAGTTTGATAAGCCTCGAAACCTCCAATAATAAGAAGGGCTTGTATGTTAAACTCCTTGATTTTGGCGGCCATCTGTTCCAATCTGGGACCAGGGAGAGCTCTCTTGGTACCCAAATTGGCGCCTCCTGTTCCTACCCATCCAGTAACATCTGACCAGCCTGTAAAATAATAGTGACAATTACTATAAACTCCAAAAAGTAATATATAGAGAGTTTAAGTACCCATCTCTTTAATATTTCCAGCAATCAGCCCTTCAACACCGTCATGGATACCTAATACTTTATCTCCCCTATAAATACAGTTTCTCACAAAAGAGCGAACTGCAGCATTCATGCCGCAAGCTGGCGCTCCAATGTGCATTACTGCAACTATGTACCCGTCCTATAAACAGAATTTCATTTAAAATAATTATTAAATGAATTGCTATACAACAACAAAAAAATGTTCTACTATAAATTGGTTCTATTGTGCTTTCCCCCAGGTGCTATACAATAAAATGCACTGTGACAAAGTTAGACTAGTAGAAAATAAATTGTGAAAATTAGTAAGCCTTTATAATAGGTACAATTTAACCATTTCTAAGTAGATCTAGTGGCAGTTGTGTAGAAAATATACAAAGCAACAAATCAATTTCGTTTAGAATAAAGCCCGTTTATGCAACTACTTTTTTCTGTCACTTACCGATGACTGCCACAATGTATCTTGCTGCAGAAAATAAAAAAAAACTGTTTCAAGCAAAAAACAAACAATTTTTCTTTTTATAAAAATGTGCTCAATAATATACCTTCTTAACTGGTTCCTATCGACATATTGGGTGCAAAAAATAGAGAAGTTAAATATTAAATTATTATACTTGTTATTTAAAACAAAATAATCAGGCAAAAATACATTAACTATCAAATTTGAAATTGTTTAGTCCAAATTAGAGATTGTGCTCATTTCCGTATTTGTAATACATATTCCTAACATACCTTTTTGTTTTTATCTTCAGTCAAATTTATAGGTGGCCTCAATCTCGTAAGCAGTTTATACGTTTCCAAATTACGTTTAAACGATTTACCACGTAATTCAACAGCCAATTCCCAATTTTTATCTGCCATAGCCTTAAAAATATTGCTAAAAAATTGCAATTATAATAAAAATATTTCTTACTTGGGCAACCGCTTTAGTACGTAACACACAATCCATAAGAGGAAGTCTTACAGCTTGGTTTCCTTCCAAAGATACCACACAAGCCTCTGTATCGTCTGTAGCCTCCATGAGGGCTAAAACAGCCTCAGCACCCATACGGCAACCCTATAAGTGGAAAACTAGCTCTACAATCTATCCTTAAGATATACATATGGTTGTGATCATACCAAGACTCTATCAAAAGCTGAGGAGTTTCCACCTCTTTGAACATGACCCAATACAGTGATCCTAGTATCTTGATGTAAGTTATCAACGACAACTTTCTTTACTTGTTCTGCTGTTATGGGTTTCCCTGTACGGTCAACAGCCCCTTCCGCAACTATAATGATATTTAAACGTTGGCCTGCTTGACGCTCCTAAAACGGGACGTACATCTAATAAACTATTAACTAACTTTTTTTAAATAAATTACTGTAACAGTTAAAACAGAAAGCTAATTTGTTAGTAAATAAGCCAATTAAAACAAACCCAAAATTCCCAATACCATGTTATTTATTAACAAATAAATAAAGCAATATTTATAAGCCATAAGAAGAGATATTCAACAGTTTCAATTTTGTGTTACTGTGCTTATCAAAAACAAGAAGACGTTGTTTTTTTTTTCTTTCTGAAAAATATTATTTAACAGATATCTTATTTCCAAAAAAAAAACAAAAATTTTATGCAAAAAGACTTACAAAAACAGGTGCATTTTAAATTGGGTTTATTAACCTCCACCACTGTGTGCAACATAAGAATTCAAAGCTAAGGAAAAAATAAACAAAAGGGATAAATCTTATAAAAAGTATTATACAAAAGCTTCTAATGTATTAATTGCACCTTCCACGAAAAATTAAAGAAAACTGCAACATTCATAAAGACTGGCAAGAATTAGTGGATACATTGAAACTTTTCATTTAATTTAGAATATAATTATGGTGTAAAAAGAAGCGTTTCTTCTTTTTGTTTACGAATATAGATATCTGAAAATTTCAAAAACAGTTTGGAAGACTACAATCAATATATACAGATTGGTTTTTTACAACGACAAAATGTTATTACATGATGATCTGTACCTGGCCAATTTTTGAACAAAGTTTTTCAGGCCAATTAGGAGGTGCTGGATCCTCTGGTATGAAGACGTAGTCAGCTTCTGCTGCAAGTGAGCTGACTAGTGCTAAATAACTGCAAAATAGTTTTGTTGTTCTACTACTTTTTTGGAATTCAATATAAAAAGTACGCACGAATAATAGAAATACCTAAGCACAGTACGACTTTTAACTTAACTGACTTACATTATTCTATTCCCATGTTATAAGACCAATTCAATACAATACAGGGTGTTCTGTCACCACTTATTGTATTATTAAGAACTGTTATTTTTAAAAGTAGCCTTTTCATTTTTAAACATGCCATACAATTTTCAAAAACAAACACCATGCTTATTTTTTCATGTTTTAATGCAGTATCAAATTTTAAGGACAAATTGTCCAGTATATTGGTCCATCTTTTTGTGGCCTATTAAATATACTGAACAATTTTTTCCTTTCCTTCTTAAACATAAAATATTTGTACATTTCCATAAAAACATCCAAATATAAAATTTCATTTAATTTTTTTGGACATGCAAGAAAATCGCTGTTAAAAAAAGAAAGCAAACCCTGATTTTTTTCCGAGTTAATATTTTATTGTAAAAACGAAAACAAATCCAAAATATTCATCCCATTTTTTTTTTCCTTTTTCAGTATACCTGTTCTAATTTATCACAAAGACGTTTCGGCCAATCCTCAAACGGAGGAGATTCGGGAATAAAGACATAATCAGCTTCAGAAGTAACAGCAGTTATCAATGATAAATACCTATAAAATTTAATTAAAACCCTCCTTCAAAAAAATTTTTTGTTCTTCAATTTTGCAATACCTATATTATCAAGCATGAATGTACTTTAAACATCATTTTTTTTCCATGTACAAATTAGGTGAACAAATATAACATATAAATCAGATAAAAGTAATCATAATTAACAAAATTTGAGATAAAAATATTTGGCATGGAACTTACCCACAATGTCTTCCCATAACTTCCATAATAAATGTTCTTTGATGAGAATAAGCTGTGCTTACAATTGCGTCGACGGCCTCGATAATTCTTTTTAAAAGAAATGAACGATTAATAAAAGTTAATATTTAAAATCAAATTTTTAAAAATAATTTCAACTCAGTAATTTTACTATTCATAGGTATGCAAATAAATTTTTACAAACCCTCTTGAAATTATAACTAAAGAACTGACTACCTTCAAACACACAAAAAAAATACATTGGAGCCGATTCTGGGGTAAATTCATTGTAGAACTTGAATTTAGTATTATTTATAAGAAATAATAAACTCAATTCTGTAAAAACTGATAACGAGTACAAGTGCTCTAAACACCATTAAATGATTTCATACCTATGTAGTGCACTATCAGTTCCCACAGTCATATCAGTTCCACAAAAATCATTATCAATGGAGCCAACGATCCCGGCAATGTGAAGAATAGGATACTTTTGCCTCTGTTCTTGCGTTATCTGACCTGCACAACAAAAGTTCAAAGGCAGTAACAGATTATCCAAAAATTGAGATTATAGAAGCAGAAGCAAAAACTTTTTTTTTGTTATTACTATTTTGAAGAAGTTCATCCAATAATGAGGTCCATTCCTGCCTGAATAAGTTAGCACCAGTAAGACTACCATCACCACCTATTACAACCAAGTTGGTAATTCCACGTTCCACTAAATTCTTGGCAGCTTTTAGACGTCCAGGCCTCTCTCTGAAAATTTCCTACTGATCAGATTACATTAATAATTTAAAGTAGCCTCTTTTACCTGAAATCTTGACATCTAGCTGATCCAATTACAGTACCACCTCTATGGATAATACCACTCACCGAAGCCCAGTTGGCCTCTACTATGTTGTTACCTCCATCAACCATACCTATAAACAATAGAAAGAAAGAAAAACGAGAATTTATATATATTACTGTAATTTTTATGAGTTTTACCTTGATATCCTTCTTTAATGAAAAACACTTTACATCCCAAATAAATACCCATTCGCACACATGCTCTGACTGCAGCATTCATTCCCTATTGAAATACATAAACTATGTATAAAGTTACAAGTACAAAAATTTACCAAAAAGATATAAAACAAATAACATACCTGTGAGTCACCCCCACTGGTAAACACTGCCACCCCTTTACCCCTATGGGCCCCCTGCTCGACAAATCTATGCCCAGATTTATCAGTCATAATTGCAATGTGATACTGTAACAAAAGTTGCAATATAAAAATATGTTTTATTTCTTTAAACTTATTGTAAAATATTATAATTTTTGTTATCAAACCAATTACATTTTTAGAAACAATTTCTAGTAGGTATAAATTTTCAAAAATTAGATATAACCAACCAAATATAAAATGTGGTTTATTATTATGTAAACAGAACAAAATAAATATTAGTTATTTATAACTTTTGTAATATATTCAAATTCAAAGTTAGTGCAATAGGCATACAAATAAAATAAAATAAAATAAAACGAAGTTGATTATAAAATATTTTGTTCACTTACTCTATTCAAAAAAAGTTATTCTTTATGAAAAAAAATCCAAACTCATAATATTTATATAAAACAGCACAGAGATAGTCGAAATTACAACTATCCAAAAATTATCAACCTTTTTCGTATAATTTTTCAAGGTGACCTTTCTATTTAAATCAAAATCTTCATAATCATAGAATAAAAGTTTTAGGTACCCATAGAATATATAAATTAATGTAAAAGTTTTTAATAATTATTAAACTTCCAAAATTGAATTTCCATATTGTTAAACAATAAGAATATATCATTAAAATTACCAAACCCAATAAAGTATTTAAATTAAAATTAGTATAGACTGCTGCATATAAGTTCACCACATTTTGAAAATCTCTGATAAATCCGAATCAGATATAGTAACAGCTCCGCCCACTAAACGTGTAAATACAAGTGACATATGTATGTCAAAATAATTTGATAAACTTTAATTTTCGAGTGAAGAAATTTTGAAGATACTTCTGTGTTTCGTTATAATTTTGAATAATGTCTGAGCAAGGCTTATTTCAAAGTGCTATAAGATCTTTAAAAAAGCCTCAAGGTGAGAGTCGATTAAAAAAAATCCTGTTTGCAATAAGAAAAGAGATAGATTGGCCAAATAAGAGAGACAACATCATAAAATTACGTGAAGAAGGATGCTTAAAACATTTAGTATTATGTCTGCAACAAAAAGATACAAATTTGGTAGACATTTCTTTAAGCATATTAGGAAATTGCTGTTTAGACCAAAGCTGTGCGAGAGATGTGGTAAGAAACCAATCATTGTAATGCATGTAATATTATATGTTACTCAGAAATGATAGGAAACCAGTGACCATCAAAATGTGGCCATTGAACTTTTTGATTTTTCGTTTCTGGGAAACTCAAGAAAAGTGTCGTTTTCAGCTGTTTTCTTTTAACTAAATTTAAACTGTAAATTCAATATTACATTATTGGAATAACTTTTTGGAAAACTTTGGTCAAGACCTTCTGAATGGTACCATCCCCAGCCTTTCCAAAAAGGTACCTTTCGACGCTCAATTCAGTGGGCCCGAACGTGAATTAAATGTCATCTTTTTATCAGATTATTTAATTGTATAATATCTAATTTTCAACTACATCTTTATGCCTAGACTGAAAATTTTAAAAAAGAAAGGATAACACATTTTAGACTTTTACCATAATCTCTTGAAACCTTTTCGAAACACTCAGTATACATTCACATAAGCAAAAGTAAATTTTAATAGAAAATACAATTATGCCGTGCACTTATTTAATCTTTTCATCGATTCAAATTAATAAACTTTAATTTAATTAATTATTGGAATAATAGATGTTACTGAAAAATTATTTTAAGGTCCGAAAATATGGTATATTGCCATATCTCGATTCAATATTATCAAATCATAAACTTGATAGTATATATGGTAGAGTTTTTCGTATTGTGGGCAATATTTGTCACCACTGGGAGCGATTAGCAAATATCGTGGTTGAAAAACAACCCTCGTTGGTCAGTAATATTGTAAAAATAATTATATCAGATTCAGCCGATTCAGATGATGAGTCTGAAGTTAAACTTTCTCAGGCTACAATAATTATGGGAATTAGGGCGTTAAGGTACGCAAAGCTGGTTTTATAAAAATTATTTTTTCATGTATAAAGAAAATTGTTTTTAGGGAACTTCTGAATGGTAGTGTGGCAGAAGAATTAATTGTAAAACATGAAGTAATTAAAGCTGCATCTACAATTTTGATAAAATACACCAGTGGATGGTTGGAATCAAAAGAAAACGAGGACATTTTAAAGAATGTATTACGATTTTTGCTTTGCTATTCCAAATATGAGTATCGCGAAATACTTTTCGGGGTAACACAAATCTGAACGCTATCAAAAGTATTGTATAAATAAAAAAGTATTTTTTAGCTCCAAAATACGATTAGGGGAAGCGCCATAAGTTACCTAGGAAAATTAACTACTCTTTCCCCTTATGATGTAGTACGAATTATAATGAATTTAGTACGTTTATCAACAGTTACCACAGACTTACCGGTTGCGGAAGTAACCAAAATATTAATTGAAAATTTAAAAAGCGAAAGGAATGGTATATACGAATAACAAACTTATTTAATATAGTTTAGTTTAGATTCAATGTTTTACAGCTGAAATGAAGAAACGGGAATATTTAAAGTGCTTATGTTTTCTAATCCAATGCGCCGCAAATAGAGAAGAAATGAAAAAATTGGGCGTTATTGCAGCTCTGATTGACTTCTTAAGAAGTAGTCAAACTCCATCGGACATTACCGTAATTATAGTCGTTTTGATATCGTGCCTATACAATCTACCAACGACTATGTTTTAGTTAAAAAATTGCTACTTAATTATTTCAAGATTGAGGAGTTGTATGTTCGACGATACATCGATGGAGATGATGATTAAACATGGGATTATTAAGGCACTTGAAGAAAAACTTGAGTGGCTGGTGGGTACTTCAGTTAATCTGGATGTGACGCACGAATTCAAAAAACGAAAATATTTTTCCAATGAAGGCCGCAAAAAGAAAATAAAATGTACCCAAGTATTCAATGTCACACTTTTACCGGACAGAATAGGAACTGGATCGTTATCTTTATTTAGAGAGGATTGTGAAACTGGTGGCGTAAGGTGCGCTAGTCCTAGTTCAGGAAGTGAAATTTCCTTTTCGAGTGGTCCCAGTTTCACGCCACCTTCAAGTCCTGCTGTTTGTAACGAGAATGGTTTCTTTGTTGCAAAACATTTTTTTTGATTTGTTGAGCTAACGCTGAAATTCGCAGATTTTCTTGGCTTTGAGGAATCCGATTCGGACGAATATTCTCCCGTTTGTAGCGAAGTTGAAGATGCAGATGAAGCTACTTCATTATTGGAAGATCTAGACTGTACATTCCAAGGAAACGAAGCCCTATTTATTTATGATAATGAAAGTAATTATCGCGTTGATCTTGAAAGTGAAGCAGGTACTTAGTGTGTTCTAAGTTGCCCTAGTACTATTCTCTAATTTCTAATGTCAAAATTCTGTTTTAGACTCTGCCACCTGTTCATTTGCAAGTGGAGCGTCATCACTAAACATAGCACTTTCCAGTGAAATTGTTGGGTTACTTAAAATGTTCGCTAGAAAAAGGCCTGTAGTTACAGAATTAGTTTCATACAAATTATTAGTTACTCTTTTAAAGTTCTTCTGCCCTTTTAACCGCGTCTTTCATACCGTTGAAAGTCTTCCAGTAATTGTAGAAATACTTAAGTGAGTACGGGAATGCTGTCAACTGCATATGTGACTGAATTATATTTTATTTAACAGGCACCAAGAACATTTATTGCACCTTATGCAAATAGACATAATACCAGTCGTTTATGATTTAACAATGAACATTCATGGAGACGCTTGTTCAGTTTGTGTTTACTTAAATGGTGTAGGTCAGACTTTATTGAAGAAATTCACTTCACTGGCCGAATCTAGTTTTGGTCGTGGTGAAATAGCTCATTGTTTAATAAGGGGAAATCTTCCATTAAAACAGAAACTTTCAATGGTCATCCCATACATAATTAGGTATAAATACTTATTAGAATTAGCACCGGGTTAAACTAACTAATCTGGTGCTAAATCAAAGTTGCAATAGCTAAATGAGTATAATTCTGTTTTTATTTTTATTTCCCCAGAAATAAAACTTTGTTTGGTAAGTTCATGACGACCTATGGAGGACTAGATATTTTAATAAAATTGCTGAGTGAACAGGATTTTCAACGGAAAAGCATCAAGAGCCTTTGTGCAGTGGCAACCAGAAAAGGGATAAAAAATCCCAAAACCGACGTATCGTTAGAAACCGTAGAACTTAAAATAAATCATAATCAGTATCAAATCAAGGATGGTTGTCAGAAAGTGGTGACTTTTGAACTGGACGATGGTACTTCTTTAAAAGCTGACAGGGAATTTCTTATCCAGCAAAGCGACTTTTTTGAGCGGTTATTGTCAGGAATGTTTAAGGAATCACAGGAAGACCGGGTTAAGTTGTGTAATGTTGAGAGGAAATCTCTTAAATGTTTATTACTTTTAATGGAAAAGGACTTTAAATGGCCACAAGTGCCATTGCTCGATTTGGACTTGCCGACTATTTTAGATGTGATAGTTTTAACAGATAGATATTTAATGATGGATTTATGTAATACGTTGGTGTCACACGTTGAAAAATTTAAAATTTCTCCCAAAACTGCCCCCTTAATCTATAGGTGGTCGTTGGAATCAGGAACGAACTTATTAAGAGTCGAAACTGTGGCTTATGCTTTGGTTTCGAACGTTTCTGAGGGCGAAAAATTTGCCATGTTTCAAAGTTTTTTTGACCATGGCTACGTTGAACAATTAACTGACGATATACAAAATTTGTTACAAAGATAATTTGACTACAAATATGTAAATAAAGTAATTATGTATTTATATCTTCCATTTTTATGTTTTCCTCTTGTTGCCTCTAAAGAACAAGAAGTCATATACTTTACAGACAAAAATTTTATTTGTAACTATGTACATATGTATTAATTTAATAAATGTATAATACGCTTTTAAAAAAAGGCATTTGTTGTTTCTTAAGTATCCAGATAGGTTCAGTAATTTCAAGAATTTTTAGAAATATGAACTTATCCTGTAATTTTGTTCAGTTTTTAAACTGAACACGTTCAAAAAATAGAATTTGTCAAATTAGCCACAATAACAAATAATTTCAAAATATAACTGATTTTTTGTAACCTATACCCACAAAATATTTTTGCGAGTAATTGTAATGATTTTTGAGTCAACACAAATCATGCCAAGAATTGAAATTTAATTCATTTATTGCGCTCGTGGTTGCCATGGTAACCGGCTCAAATTTAATTTTGAGTAAATTATTCGATTGTACTTAGTCGTCTCAATTAAGTATCTATTTAATTCAAGCATAGTTTTGTGTAATTTATTTAATGTAGAATGTACAGAATTTCACCTATGTGACATTATTGATATTTATTATTGTTTTGATTTGAGGCGACCTTATAATCCCGTCAACGTAATGAAAATTACAATCAAAAGACCACGTTGGCAGTGTCGTTGGCAATTTAGAAATCACCGTTCGCTTTATTAAATTGAGTATTCGTGAAATAGCCAATCAGATCGTTTGAAAGGCTGTGGAAAACGGTAGATACCCGGATACGTCACCATAAAAACGTCACTTTATCACGAAGTTTATATGTGTGTATTGACTGGTTAACAGTTCAATCTTGTCAACATTTTTCAATAAGTGTTATTCAAAATTTAAAGTGTGTGCAGATTTAAATATATTCATAACGAAATAATTATTTTATTAGATTTATTTAGCGGTTATTTAAAAATATGGTGAAACCTGTGAGAAAAAGTTCCAACAAAAACCCTCCTGTTTTTAGTCATGAATTTATTATCCAAAACCATGCAGATATTGTATCCTGCATTGCAATGGTTTTCGTTGTGGCCTTAATGATACAGGTGAGCCCCTTGTGTTTATTTTCATAGTAAAATACTTGTAGAAAGTGTATTGTCAGAGATATAATGCCACATATGTTATAGGTTAGACGTTTATTTTAAGAGAAGTACTGCCTGATTTTATGTGAAATATGTTTTAGGCCACCTCCCCAATAGCGTCAATTTTTATTGCACTTCAGCACAATGCAACTAGTGGTGCTGTAGGGGAAATTCCACTTTATCAATCTGGAATTAAGGATTGGGCAGCTGTTTTCTTTTATAGTTTAATTTGCATTGTTATTCATGCAGTCTTTCAAGAATATGTTTTGGATGTAAGTGATAATCAGTTTATGATTAGTTTTTTTATTAATGAAAAACATTCCCTTCAGAAAATTACCAAGAAAATGCATCTTTCTAAATCAAAGCTGGCAATATTCACAACCAGTGGTCATCTCTCTGTTTTCTATGCTATTTCTACCATATGGGGCTTGGATATTATTATAAGAGAAAGTTACTTGCCTGATGTATGTAAACAAGTTAATAACCTCTTACATTATGGTTATATGTTTAATGATTTTAGGTTGCTCTTTTGTGGTCAGATTATCCACCACCAATGAGTTTTGTCATGAAATTATTTTTCATCATCCAGCTTGCTTATAGCCTCCATGAACTTCCAGAAATATACTTTCAACGTGTCAAAAAGGATGAATACTTTGGCAAAGCTTGCAGTAGCATAGTCTCCCTTATTTTAGTGGCAATTCCTTACTTCTTAAAGTATGAAATTAATATCATCTTTAATTTTCTTTGTTATTGTGGTTATAACAATATTAATTAATGAAATTGCATTTCACAGCTTCAACAGGCTTCTCATATGTCTTCTTGTACTTCACTACACATCTGAACTGGTTCATCATATTGGTCAACTTATTCAGACTGTTGACAAGGATGAAAAGTTCACAAAAGGTGTAGCATTGTTAACCTACCAAATTAATCATGTATATTAATTTTTGTTTTCTCTTAGCAACAAGTGCTGTTACTTTGGTGGCTTTAATACTCACAAGATTGGGAAGTATTATCCTTGCAGTTCTCACCCTTTGGTATGGATTGGCTTTACATGAACAAACAGAATTTGATTACCAAGCAGGATATTTTAACACAGCTCCTGTAAGACTGGGTTTGCTTGGCATTATTTTAGGTTTGCAAGTGTAAGTTTTCTATATTGGCACAATATAGTAAATGTTATTCAATTTATTTTCATTTTTAGGTACTTAACTTGCAGTTTAATTAATCAAGAGTTGGCAAAAGCTAGAGAAAATAAAGTTTACACTACAGTTTCCAAGTCTAAGGGTTTGAAGAAAGACAAATCAAAGAAATGTATTTTGTTTATGATTTCTTTTAATTGAATTACATTAACTTATTTTTTATTTTTCAGCCAAGAAAGGTAGCGTTGACGAGTCTGATTTACCCGAAGTTGATCAAAACACCAACAAAAATTTGAGAAAGCACAAGATTAAATAAGGCCGAAATTGTTGATACAAAAGACCTTAAAATTATCTTTCAAATGCAGACATCAGCGTTATTAATAATAATAATAAAAATAATCGTAAAACGTTGTTCTTCAAAAGAAGCAAGTGCTTATTAACAAAAAATTACGCCAAATAGGATCGGACTCTATCTATATGTATATATTTTTGACAAATCGTAAATTCCAAGGCCGTTTGCCATAAACTTTCTGACTAAAAAATTGCGATAAATATACGTTGCGAAAAGGATATCAGAGTCTGTTTTTATAGGATGAAATTTTTTGCTTTGTTCAGTATATTTACCCCCTCAATGTTTAACAAAGAAAAGCATTATTTCAAGTAACATTGACTTAACACGCAGTATTTCAAGGTTGTTATGACATAAAAATATTCTCTCTGCTATCAGTCTTTATAAAAAAAGACAATTTTTTTATTTTTCGAATGGTGCATCCCTATTGTAATTCGACGCCGGTGGGGGACGCGGGTCCCCTGTCCGCGCGTGGGACCATTTTTAGCGGGATTGTATACCCCCCAAGTGGTAAGTGTCACCTTTCAATGACCAGGAACTATCTTCCAAGTGGTTAGAAGTACCTTACAACAACTGCGATCNTAAAGTATTTAAATTAAAATTAGTATAGACTGCTGCATATAAGTTCACCACATTTTGAAAATCAGAAAACAAAGTCACTGCTTGTTTATGCTTAAGAATATTCGTTATATGATTTGTGTGCTAAGTTTACTACAGTTTTCAAAAAATTAATATGCTGGAGTACTTATATATCATCCAGTACACGTTCTTCTACAGTCATGTAAATTCCTTCTTCTTCATAAGCAGAATCGTGCTTTGCCAAAATACGTAGAAGAGGTCTTAATTTCAACCACCACTCTTGTTTGGGAATACGATACCTAGAAAAAAAAATTAAACATTAATTTAATTAAGAGTTAAAAATTACGATAAATCATTAAGAATATTAAGCTCTTTTACTCGAAGTTAGTTTCGTTTTTCAGATCTAGTAAGTTGCTCGTCTTGTACTGCCTACGAACTATTCCAAGCAAGACTGCAGTGTCGGGGGTTGTACATCTGGTAACCCCTTCTTTTGTATTTCTATTTAACGTCTCGCCTATCCAATCGACCGCTTTTGAACCCAGTTTTGTTCCTAAGTTACGATCAAAGGGAGTAGGAGAAGCACCTTGCTGCATATGACCTAAAAATATACTCTTTAAAAATTTGTATTTTACTAATATCTTTAGATAATATAAGTTTCCTGGATTTCTTCTGCATTGGTGGTCTTACCAAATGTCAGGGTTATTTACAAGACGTAACACCTCCCAAAGCATTTAAAAACTAATTAATTTTTTATAATCCAATAAATGAATAGAGTAAAAGTCGAACCTAATACGTTCATCCTGGCACTAAACAATCCTTTTCCTTCTTCACAGTAAAGACGATAAATAAAATCGGTATTATAATTCTCGCTGGCCCTTTCATTGCGCAGTATCAGACCACGTTGTACCCCTTCGGCCATTTTGGTGGCCATATGGTACACGTCCTGTTGCAGATCTTTAATTGAAAATTTCTCTTCGAAAATGTATGCCGCATCCGCACCTCCAGCTAACCCTGTAATAAAATAAAGAAAATGAAACTACATGTAGAAAACAGCAACTGAGTTGTAACAGAATAATTCTGATTTTAAAAATCCTTTATTAATAAAAAATTACTAATCCTATAAAGTTATAGAAAACGGTATTGTCTCAGTTTTCTACACAACTTCAAAATTTCAGCCTAACAACTTGAAATTAAAATGATAATATTCCGAAATTAAACAGTAAAGAAATTTGAATGAATATATATATATATATATACCTGCCANGCAATATTCACAACCAGTGGTCATCTCTCTGTTTTCTATGCTATTTCTACCATATGGGGCTTGGATATTATTATAAGAGAAAGTTACTTGCCTGATGTATGTAAACAAGTTAATAACCTCTTACATTATGGTTATATGTTTAATGATTTTAGGTTGCTCTTTTGTGGTCAGATTATCCACCACCAATGAGTTTTGTCATGAAATTATTTTTCATCATCCAGCTTGCTTATAGCCTCCATGAACTTCCAGAAATATACTTTCAACGTGTCAAAAAGGATGAATACTTTGGCAAAGCTTGCAGTAGCATAGTCTCCCTTATTTTAGTGGCAATTCCTTACTTCTTAAAGTATGAAATTAATATCATCTTTAATTTTCTTTGTTATTGTGGTTATAACAATATTAATTAATGAAATTGCATTTCACAGCTTCAACAGGCTTCTCATATGTCTTCTTGTACTTCACTACACATCTGAACTGGTTCATCATATTGGTCAACTTATTCAGACTGTTGACAAGGATGAAAAGTTCACAAAAGGTGTAGCATTGTTAACCTACCAAATTAATCATGTATATTAATTTTTGTTTTCTCTTAGCAACAAGTGCTGTTACTTTGGTGGCTTTAATACTCACAAGATTGGGAAGTATTATCCTTGCAGTTCTCACCCTTTGGTATGGATTGGCTTTACATGAACAAACAGAATTTGATTACCAAGCAGGATATTTTAACACAGCTCCTGTAAGACTGGGTTTGCTTGGCATTATTTTAGGTTTGCAAGTGTAAGTTTTCTATATTGGCACAATATAGTAAATGTTATTCAATTTATTTTCATTTTTAGGTACTTAACTTGCAGTTTAATTAATCAAGAGTTGGCAAAAGCTAGAGAAAATAAAGTTTACACTACAGTTTCCAAGTCTAAGGGTTTGAAGAAAGACAAATCAAAGAAATGTATTTTGTTTATGATTTCTTTTAATTGAATTACATTAACTTATTTTTTATTTTTCAGCCAAGAAAGGTAGCGTTGACGAGTCTGATTTACCCGAAGTTGATCAAAACACCAACAAAAATTTGAGAAAGCACAAGATTAAATAAGGCCGAAATTGTTGATACAAAAGACCTTAAAATTATCTTTCAAATGCAGACATCAGCGTTATTAATAATAATAATAAAAATAATCGTAAAACGTTGTTCTTCAAAAGAAGCAAGTGCTTATTAACAAAAAATTACGCCAAATAGGATCGGACTCTATCTATATGTATATATTTTTGACAAATCGTAAATTCCAAGGCCGTTTGCCATAAACTTTCTGACTAAAAAATTGCGATAAATATACGTTGCGAAAAGGATATCAGAGTCTGTTTTTATAGGATGAAATTTTTTGCTTTGTTCAGTATATTTACCCCCTCAATGTTTAACAAAGAAAAGCATTATTTCAAGTAACATTGACTTAACACGCAGTATTTCAAGGTTGTTATGACATAAAAATATTCTCTCTGCTATCAGTCTTTATAAAAAAAGACAATTTTTATGTACTAGACTTTGTAAGTCTATAAATACACACATATATATATATCGAATATAAATACATATTATAAATGTTTAAGAGAATAAATTTTACTTTTTTTTAACTCGTATTTATTTCATGCTATTCTCTTAAGAGCCTAGTGGTCGTGTATACGTGGTGTTTCCAGAAGTGTTCCAGGGAAATATGTCAATTTATTGAGCTCAATTAAAATAGTACCAATTTTATTGAGGAATTATTCAGATATGGCACAATTTCTAGGTAGTAAATAAACATTGGTGCAATTTATCTTCTAATAATTTATATTCGATCTCACAAAACAATCAACCATAAATCATAACAAGTACCATTTTGTGAATTTACTATTACTAATTATAAACTAGAAGAAAAGTTTAGGTTTTTCAAAGGTTTTAATTAACTCACCAACTATATTTCTGTATCTTCCGCCCATATATATTCTTCAAATCCATTGGTACTTGTTTTGAACGCAAATGGCACCATATGATAAAAAAAAATTCCAACCAATGCAAGGAACTTATGAAGTGATGCCAATCAATTTTCAGATAAATATGGAAACAATGATATTTTAAATCTTTTCTGCATCATGGCATGTGGTTTAATTTGTATTTTAGATTCTTTATGAAAGACAACAGTACCTCGTCACTTATTCCATGTTGATCTTTCTTTTAGAGTAACTGACATCCGTAATTAAATAATAAATTTGGTATGGTTGACACTTAACTAGTGTGATGCTGGTATGTGAGTCACTTCCATGCGATTGCTAATTGTTACTTTTAACCTCAAACAAAGCATTTTATAATTGAAGAAATTTCAAATTTTTATGTATTACACACTAATAAAAACGTACTTTTTTCAATACAGTGAATAATTCCATTTCACTTTAAAATTTTTTTCAGAAGAAATATAATTTTTCTCTTATCAATTCTATTATGCCAAACGTAGATGTTCATCCTTTGGCAAACAACCCTAGTGCGGCTTGGCGAGAACTATCACAAGAACAAAAAGTGTTTAAACTCAATGTAAAACCTCCATCAAAACCAGTCGAACCTAACAAAGTTAGGTTTGTTTGTATGAGTGACACTCATTCACTTACTCACTACATTAAGTTCGATATTCCAGATGGGGATGTGTTTGTTCATGCTGGTGATTTTACAAAATGTGGTCAGGAGGGCGAAGTACAAGAATTTAACCAGTGGTTAGGTAATTTATTTTAATTTTTAGTGTGTATATTTTGTAAAGTTGACTTATTTTTAAGGAAGTTTACCTCACAAACACAAAATTGTGATAGCTGGAAACCACGAACTTAGTTTTGATCCTTCTTTTGTTCATATTTTTAAAAAAACATATGATCACTGTTCAAGGCATGCAGGTAGCATTTTTGAAGAGGAAATACCCACTTTGGGGATGGAAAAAGAAGAATTAAACAAGGCAGTTAAGGCTGTAAATGCAAAGAAGTGTTTAACAAATTGTACATATTTGGAAGACTCCATGGTGGAGATTTATGGAATAAAAATATATGGCACCCCTTGGTGTGTACAGGTCTAATTAATATATTTTGTTTTACTGTACTTGTTACTGTATAACAATCTTCTTAATTTAGTTTTTAAATAACTTCAGGCAACCAGAATTTTGCAAATGGGCGTTTAATTTACCAAGGGGTGAAAAATGCCTTGAAAAGTGGAATTTAATACCTGAAAATGTTGATGTTTTAATTACTCATACTCCACCAGTTGGTCATGGTGATTTGACCTGTTCTGGGGTACGTGCAGGCTGTGTTGAACTATTAAATTCAGTACAGAAAAGGATAAAACCGAAATATCACGTTTTTGGACACATACATGAAGGTGCACTTATTAATTATTAAATTTTATTTCTCAACAAATTAAATAACTTTCTTTATATATCAGGATATGGAGTAACAACTGATGGAAAAATAATATTCATAAATGCAACTACTTGTGATATTAATTATATACCAAACAATTTACCGATTGTGTTTGACATCCCGCTACCCCCAGGAGTTCAAAAGGCGTAATTAGTATAATTAATTCCTTATTAAAAAGTAGATTCCCATTTTGTTGAAATAATTTTGTTACTGTTATAAATTTATTTATCTGTACACTTATACCAAATGACAACCAATAATAAAACTACATTTAAAAGATCGATTATTGAATTTTGTTTATTATAGTCATCGTTGTATATAAATCATAATAATGCAGACAGGCTTCTTAAGAAATTACAACTCTACAAGTTCATCCCAAACTAAAACAATGTTCTTAACAGTTGAAAAAACAACGTTAAATAAAACATATTCTATTTGAGTCGTTTTTTTTTTTAACTATGTATATAACAAAAGAATAATATTAACATTGTTGATGTAAAAAAATGTTTTTCAATTAATCGTTGCGCCACATTAAGTATACTACATATACATATTGTAATAAAATCAACCTTTTACGTTAAAAAAAAAAAAAACTAAAAATTGTAGACCTATTGGACTCAGAGATTCGAAAATAGAAATTGCGCCCTATCTTGTTTGCGATTGTTTTAAAATTACAGGAAATAAAATTGAAAGACTTATTATTTCTACTACATGTCTAATAGGGAACGTTAGAAAATAGATAAGATACTGATTCTCCATTGTGTGTTCGCCTTACAGCTTCTGCAAACATCATTGATACATCTATACACTGAAAAACGATAAAATAATTAGCGCTTAAGTAAGGAAATATTGTGGGTGGTACGTAAGTCAACCAAAGTCCTTAGTGCTATAACATATGTATGTGTAGGCAACCAACTTTACATCTCGGTTGGCAATTAGACTATTTTAAATGATTACATTAATTCATTGTAAACGAGGGTTAATGAAGATTACATTTTTAGATATTCATCTAATACAACTGTATTATTTTATTAATTTGTGGGTATGTAAATTGCAACAAAATTTGATAAGCTTATTCGTAAACAGAAAACATAGTAATAATGATAATGAAATTATTACAAAATATGTGAGATCATTTACGTAAGTACGTTATAAAACAGGAAGTTACTTTCGCAAAAATAATTGTAAATGTATATATGTATTTGATCATTTAAATTTAAATAATATTAATTAATTCGATACAGAGTGTTCGTGTTTTGCCACAGCGTAACATCTTTACAAATAATTCAAATGGTTAACTAATTCGCTCCTTGGCGTTTAAATAAATTTAAAAAAAAAATTAAAAAATATTACCTGTATTTTAGAGCATTGCTTCATATGTTCGTCTTGGGGTATCGTGTTTGTTACGACAACAGCTTCGAAACAAGCGTTATTGATCCGGGAAATCGCGGGACCAGAAAAGATACCATGAGTTAATATCGCGTAAACTTTGGTGGCACCGGCTTCCATTAGTTTTTCCGCAGCGTGACAGATTGTACCACACGTGTCTGCCATATCGTCTACCAAGATCGCAACCCTATCCTTAACATCGCCGACGAGAACCATAGACGCAACCTGGAAAAAGATTTAAAGGATAACTATTAACAAAACATCTTAAAAGAAAACAATTGCACAGAAAGCAATAAGAACAATTGACAAACAAAAGTAGAAACAACACAATAACAGACATATAAATGAATTTATAAATAAATGAACTAACAAACCTCGTTCGCTTTTTTTCTTTCTTTGTGAATCAAAGCAAATTCGACGTTCAGTCTATCAGCAATTGACGTGACCCTCTTTGCACCTCCGGCATCCGGCGAGACAATAATACTATTCCTCCATTCGGATATATTTTCCTTAATCCATTTTAATACGGCAGGTTCTGCATATAAATTATCCACTGGTATATCGAAAAATCCCTGGATCTGGGAAGCGTGCAGGTCCATAGTTATGATGTGATCCGCTCCAGCCACCGACAACATATTCGCCACCAATTTTGCCGAAATTGGGGCTCTGCTCTGTGAAAAAAGAGAGACACCGTTGTACTCAAACGAAATTCTCACTTATAAAAGTTCATTAATAAAACCAAAAAATAGCAGACTCTTTTTAACTTTTAACTTATATACCTACATAGTTGCAAACGGTTTTTAAAAGGAATAAAAATTGTAATTGTTAGTATCAATATTAACAGTTAATAATAATAAAAGCAAACGATGAATGAATTAATTGCTTAATTATCTATCTTTGGAATTTTTAAAAATTTATAAAATATCCCAAAGTTAACGAAAGAGTATTGGAATTGAAAGTACTCTACAGGGTGCCACATTTTTGAAGCTCAAGTTTTGTTAAAAATAAAACTAATTAATAATAGGTACTTAATTAGTTTCTTTTTTGGCCATTATAAAAGTGAATCTATAATAATAAATAAAATCGATTGCACTGCTCAAGTTACTTTTAATTTGTTTATTTATTGCATATCAAACAATAACACATTATTTTCGTAATTAGATATAGCGCAACCTTTAATGCTTTGACCTGACTCTGTGTAATATTATAATGAAAAACATAATCAAACAATCGTCTTCTGTCATCATCCAGTGTGGTAAGCAATGCTAAATGATATAAATATGTTTATTAAATTCTTCTGAACGTCAACGAATAACGTCAGTGAAAAGCTTAATTAAGAAACATAGTTATCAGAACTTTTAATTTCTGATACTAAAAAATATTTTTGTTATTTTCAATTGAATACTGCATATATTGACTGGTTAACAGTTCAATCTTGTCAACATTTTTTAATAAGTGTTATTTAAAATTTAAAGTGTGTGCAGATTTAAATATATTCATAACGAAATAATTATTTTATTAGATTTATTTAGCGGTTATTTAAAAATATGGTGAAACCTGTGAGAAAAAGTTCCAACAAAAACCCTCCTGTTTTTAGTCATGAATTTATTATCCAAAACCATGCAGATATTGTATCCTGCATTGCAATGGTTTTCGTTGTGGCCTTAATGATACAGGTGAGCCCCTTGTGTTTATTTTCATAGTAAAATACTTGTAGAAAGTGTATTGTCAGAGATATAATGCCACATATGTTATAGGTTAGACGTTTATTTTAAGAGAAGTACTGCCTGATTTTATGTGAAATATGTTTTAGGCCACCTCCCCAATAGCGTCAATTTTTATTGCACTTCAGCACAATGCAACTAGTGGTGCTGTAGGGGAAATTCCACTTTATCAATCTGGAATTAAGGATTGGGCAGCTGTTTTCTTTTATAGTTTAATTTGCATTGTTATTCATGCAGTCTTTCAAGAATATGTTTTGGATGTAAGTGATAATCAGTTTATGATTAGTTTTTTTATTAATGAAAAACATTCCCTTCAGAAAATTACCAAGAAAATGCATCTTTCTAAATCAAAGCTGGCAATATTCACAACCAGTGGTCATCTCTCTGTTTTCTATGCTATTTCTACCATATGGGGCTTGGATATTATTATAAGAGAAAGTTACTTGCCTGATGTATGTAAACAAGTTAATAACCTCTTACATTATGGTTATATGTTTAATGATTTTAGGTTGCTCTTTTGTGGTCAGATTATCCACCACCAATGAGTTTTGTCATGAAATTATTTTTCATCATCCAGCTTGCTTATAGCCTCCATGAACTTCCAGAAATATACTTTCAACGTGTCAAAAAGGATGAATACTTTGGCAAAGCTTGCAGTAGCATAGTCTCCCTTATTTTAGTGGCAATTCCNTTCTTTAATTTTTATCATAGCATAGATGTTTATATCTTGTGTTTAAAAAATATTAGATTTCATTGACTTTATAAATTGATTTGATATCTCACTAATATTTTTTAAATATAAAGATATCCTATGTGTCGTTTTATATAACTGAACATAAATAATTATACTAGAAAGCTTCCCTTTTTTAAAACTATTAATATAAATGTTAAATGCATAGTGACAAAAACAAAAGCAACCCATTGAGCTAAATGTATTACAAATATTACCCTGTATTTCCATTCAATTGATTTCCATTTTTCTATAAGCCTTTCTTTGTCATCATTATTAGTTCCCTAAAATTTTTTATAGCATCAGTATGCTTCATATAAATTCCTCACACTCTCCTTATAATTTTTGTTTGTTTCAACAAGCATATAATTTCATATTTCTAATTATGCCAATATTTAAAGTGCTACTACAAACTAAAGAAGGAAAAAGTTAATGTACATAATGCAATCTGAATTTGTAATTACTAAAATAAATAAAAAATGCACAGGAAGAAACAAATAAACACTTATTTAAACAAACTGTGAAAGCACAAAAAAAAGATCCGGTTATATAACCGAAAATTGCTTTCCTACAAAATCTACTTATAACGTTGGATCTTACCTTATCTTTCTTATCTTGTCGGGCATATGGAAAACAAGGAATAACAGCTGTTACCCTACTGGCACTGGCAATTTTACAAGCATTGATCATAATAAGTAATTCCATTAAGTTGTCATTAACTTCACCACTACCTGACTGTACAATGTATACATCTTCTCCTCGGACTGATTCACCTATTTCAACACTGAAATAAAATTAAATTGCTTATCAGCTCCATGACACGTTTGCACGTTGTGAATATAGTAATTTGCATTAACAATGTAGATCAAGTATGTTTTAAAAATATGTAAAAACCAAAAGAAACGAAGATTATCAAATATAAACAACCATACCATGTTTCCAAGTTACTAAATTTTTTAGTGACGACCTTCCCTAAATCAATGCCAAGTCGATCAACTATTCTTTGGGCTAAGTCAGGATGCGAAGTCCCGCTAAACACTTTAATGTTAGGCATCCTACTTAATAATAATTTCGGTTGTGACTGCGTTTCAGAGTTGTCAATCTCAAGTTTTGTCCACAACAGTCGCTTAGTTAAAACCGGTGGAGCGGACACCGTCATAACTACAAAAGACGACCAATGATGAGCGAATAATTTTCCAAGGTCAATTTAATGTTTTCGACCTTTAACGCGCCAAGTTTGGTAACTATACTTATTTTTATTACAGTTTTATTACACAACTCTCGTAAACAACATAATTAACGTAAATTTTATTTAGAGCGCAAAATAATAGTCTTTTAAGGGGTTACTAATTTTCTTCCCTTTAAATGTCCTACAATGTTTTTAATAATTTAAAACTTGGGACTCTTAAGTTGGCTACATCATACATCTTAAAAAAACAAGTGCCACCAACTTTTTAGTAAGAACTCAAAACTGAATTGTAAAATTACTAGTGAAAATAAATTTGGTTAAAATTTGTTACATTGTCATATTTATTAATTAGAAGAACGACCAACGTCCTTTTTTGAAATTGAAATGCTTTTTAACTGAAAATATAATTAAAAATTATGGCAAATATTGCAGCACAGAGAATAAAGAGGGAATTCAAAGAGGTTATTAAAAGTGAAGAGGTAAGCCTTTATGTCAAATGTATTTATCTTTCCCATATTCTTTTATTTCAAAAACTTACCAGCATTTTTGTAGCTCTTGTTTTTAATCATACTTGACCACGTATTTGTTGCAATTAATCTCGAATATATTTACATTGATATCATAAATAACTTGCTTTGATAAATACGTTTAGAGGTTATCAATTTTTTTTCATGGAGAATATACATATTTCCCTTTTCTGTTTCTTATTTAAATAACAAAAATTATAATTACACAATTACAGGTAGCAAAATGTGCCATTAAATTGGAACTTGTTAATGACAGCTTTACAGAATTAAAAGGAGAGATTGCTGGACCCCCTGACACTCCATATGAGGGTGGAAACTTTGTTTTAGAAATAAAAGTTCCAGAAACATATCCTTTTAATCCACCTAAAGTATAATAATCTTATATTTAGTAAATTTCTTAATTGATCTAAGATACTCTTGTTTTAAGGTACGTTTTGTAACCAAGATATGGCACCCCAATATATCTTCAGTGACTGGGGCAATTTGTTTAGACATCCTGAAAGATCAATGGTGAGATATTGTTAAGAAAAAGTTTAAGGTTTACATGTATTAACAAGCTAATTTTCTTTTGTAGGGCTGCTGCAATGACATTAAGAACGGTTCTGTTGTCATTGCAAGCTCTACTTTCAGCAGCTGAACCGGATGATCCTCAAGATGCTGTAGTAGCTAAACAGTATAAAGAAAACCTAGAAATGTTCGAATCCACGGCACGCCATTGGACAAATATTTATGCAGGAGGTATACAAAATATTGGATATTCTTTAATTTTTATCATAGCATAGATGTTTATATCTTGTGTTTAAAAAATATTAGATTTCATTGACTTTATAAATTGATTTGATATCTCACTAATATTTTTTAAATATAAAGATATCCTGAGAAGCTGATAGATTATGCTTATTGTTCTATGGCATTTCACGTACAAATTTTAATATGAAACTATAATTATTTTGCTATTGGAAGCTAATTAAATTACTGCATATAACTACCTGTAGGTTCCTTATGTTGCCTTTGGTGTACTTATGACTTTAAAAGTTCAGTTTCTTAAAATTTTTACCCTTTTTTGTAGTTATCTGATATAGATATTTTTTCATTGTTTTTTTATAATAAAAGAGTATTTTACTTACAGTAAATGTAATGTTTCGTTTTGACTACATAGTATATTATTAATAACAGATATTTTGTTCCTTTCAAAATGAAATGCGTCGATAAAACAGTTGGTTGTAATAGAATTCATCAAAAAGTTGTAATTTCCTGAATAAGCTTAACTTTTTGTATTCTTTTGTTTAAGGTCCTGATTTAAATAAAGATTTTAACGATAAAATAAGGAAATTAGTCGAAATGGGAGTAGAAGAACATCAAGCAAGAGTAGCCCTTTCATCATACAATTGGGATCTAGAACGAGCCACTGAACAGTTGTTTAGTTAGTGAAGTAGCGCTCTTGTACTCTGTTAAATTCATTGCCACAGTATGCACCAAGTAAGCCCAGTTTGTTTTATAAAGGACTCTTAATAATGATGGAATGTCGTTATATGTTACAATTTAATATTATTTTTGATTTTTGGGAAGAGGGATCTGCAGATCTTGTTTCATTTTTACAAAAAAAAAATTAAAATAAAGCCAATTATTAACGAGTTTCTGAATGTGCATAGTCTCAATCAAGATCATTTAATCTTCCATGATTTTTGGGCATGTAGGCTAAGGTGAACAGTACTGTTTTATATTTCAAGTGATAATAACCAAAAAAAGGAAAAAATAAACTATGCCGTTTGTATACATTTGCGTACTTCTTAATTTATTATAATAAAAAAATATCTTAAGAGTAACAGTTACAGAAAAATTGCTTACTTTTTATTATATCGTTGAACCGTCTAAATATAAAAGCCATCATATTTAACACAATTTCTACAAAAATTGACAAACATGTCATTTATAATCAAAGTAAAACGTGTAAGTCATTCTTATTAATTAAATTAATTTTTTCGTTATTTAACGAGCTAAAAGTACCGAAATGTATTGAAATTGTTGTGGGGCATCGCAGATAAGAACTTTAAAGTTATAAACTATCAGGGTGCACTTTACATCTAATTTTAAACGTCTTTTCATTTTTTTATAAATTAATTTCTTATANGGGTAACTATTTACAAATATGATATATTTTGGAGAGAAAATTAAATTAAACTTTAACAACTTATTTTTTATTAGTTTATTAATTAAAAAAGATATGCAATAAAAAATGTCAAAAATATTTGCAATGACACAAAAAAAAAGTACATAAGTTATTTTTACAGGAAATTAAACTGAAAGTGTTTACTTTGTTTATTTTCATAAAGATTACCCAACAAAAGGATTCAGTGCAAATATCAGGAATATTTAAAAAACATTAATTTCTTTTCAGATAATGTAGCCAGAAAAGGTTGTTTATTAATTGTAAAACCACATAAGTCTAATATTGGTTCATGGGCAGGTATAGAACCCACCTGTTGACCCGTAGAAATACTCCACAGCAGGAGACTTTTGTACGATTCCTCATAAGCTGCGACATATTTGTCGTCTTCTCCTAAATGTAAAAAAAAAAAATTTGAAGAACATTAACAGCGCCAAAAGTCTACAGGGGCCATTTAAGTGTTACGTCCTTCTTCTACATGTACTTATTACACTTGAATGGTCCCTTACTCTATTAAAACTATGCTTACATAATATTGTGAATGACCTCCTACCTGAAATAATTGCTGATCTAGACAGCATCCTCTGCATCGAACCGCCTTTGAAGCAAAACACGGCGTTACCAGTAATCTTTTCGGTATCAGGATCTTTATCTAAATGTAATATAGAGTGTCTAGAATAGGGATTGGAGGAACTGGATCGAGTTGAGACAAGAAACTGATCCGTTTCTACATCTAATCGCATACTAACAAACGGTCCCGTGTAAGGTATCCAGTGGGACTCAAGTTCTTCTCCTCGGTTCGTGTATACATAGAGACCGTTAAGTTTACAACACATAAGCCCACCCTGGGATAATGGTACGCGACAGGGAGGAATAGACGCCAAGGATACCACAGGTGACATGTCCCCACTTTGGCTGTATGTATTTAGACTTTGCGAAACGTTTCGAATGTCGTACTGTAAGCACGAACCTTGCTGTTCGCCAACGTAAAACATGAAGGGGTTTTCCAAGTCCCAACAACATGACCATAACGCAGATAGGGCGGTTTTGGAAAATATCTTCAACCAAAAAAAAAGAGATTATTTGTAAGTAATAAAAAATGTGCAATGCAGTAATACAAGTTGTTCCTATCTATCAAATAATTACTGATTACAATTTTAATAACGACATACTTGGTTTTTAATATTTTGCATACTATCATTAAAGAAATTAGGAATTATTTTTATCACTACAATTATGTCAAGGCAAATAAATTGCAAATATATTACCTTCCGTTTTGCATTCCTTTGATAACGATTTTTCCTACTAAAATATGCATTAAATATTTTGATGTAAGGCCAGGAAATATTCTAAACCTTTTTTAGAATATTTGTCATAGTTAAAAAGATAAAACATTAGAACCCGAAATGTTCACCATTTGCTGCAATTTATATATGTGATACTATAGAAGATGATTTTACACTAGTTTTATTTTATTGGTTTTACATTTATAATTCTGAAATACTTTTAATGCGCCTTTTCTTACAGATATTATCTATTTTTCTTATTCGAATCCGTTGTATTGGGCCAATTTTCATTCATTTTCACACTTTTATGGACCCTAGTCCTTTTTCCGTTTTTGTTTGACAGAATGTTTCGAATTACTTGATATTTTTTAAATGTGTTTAAATTATTATGGGTAATAGCCCTTTTAACTTACCACAAAATTGTTGTTACTATCTGTTAATTTAAAAGTTTTGTCTAAACTGACGGTGATGAAATTTCTAGTTTGGGGTTGAAAACTGATATCTCTGATGGTCATTGAGTGTAAAGGAATGAATGCAGTAGTCTTATAGTTCGAAATGGCTATCTTTTTGACCCCATAGCCGTTAAATAACGGATTATTTGATTTAGTTGAAGTAATGAGTAAGTCAATATTACTCTGGCAATCTAATACTCTACAACCACCATCTTTATTGACTTCCAATACCTTTTCTATGTGTGCTCTTAAAAAAGACAAATATAATTTTTTTTAAATTACAGTTACAACATAATTGTTTTTTTTTTTATTGTGAATGTTACCTGATCTTTCCAGAATTATTATCATTTGGATTAATTTCTGATAATCTAACATGTTTTTGAGTTTCCAATGCTTTCTGCAATAGAGATATTTCTAGTTTCATTTTTTCAACCTATAAGGATAAAAATTGAATTAACTAACATTATAAATTTGTTTTAGTGAAAAATTCTTACCTCTTCTGTCATTTTCTGATTTTTAAGGGTAGATTGTGCCAATTTTTGCTCTAAAATGTTTTTTTCCTTGCTCACTTTATCAAAGCTTGTTTGTAGTTTGCTAAATTCTATAGCATCCATTGCAATTAATTTGGTAGCATAAATGTGTCTATGGGAAATTATGGAACATTAAGGAAAACCTGCTATTTATAATAACTATGTTTTTTCAAAGGCTCACCTAATTTCACGTAAAGTACATTTTTTTTTACATGTAGGACAACTTCTACTGGATTCAGTTATCCAGCGTTTAACGCAGGAAAATCCAAACAAATGACCACATTTTAAAGAGCATACTCTGTGATCTCCAACATTGGTCCAATCTTCTAAACAAATACTACAACTTATTCCTTCATCATTTTCCATAACTTTAATCTTCTTTCTGGGAGAGTCATCATCATTATCAGCATTTCCTAGTGTCTGAAAATTAATGTAGGTAAATTTAATGCTTTAAAACCATAAAAAAGAATAACAAATACAACCTTTTTACATCTTGAACATATCTCTAAAGTTTGTCGTTTACTTTGACTAAGATGTAAAGCAGGTTCATTTTGTCCTCCACTTATTTCATTATTTGGATGCACAATTTCAGTTTCTTCTACCTGAATTTCATTTGATACTTCATTATTGTCAGTGAGGATCTGTTACAGAGTGAATGAGAAATTGGTCAAATAAATAACATGTTTCTTTAAATGATTACCTGAATGTTTTCAGTTCGTACTAAAGGATTCGCTAATAAACTATCAATTTGTACTACATCGTTTGTTACAGTATTATCTTCATTTCCATCTAAACTATTGTCTGCAAATCAACAAACCCTCAATTATAATAATTGCTATGCTATTATTGTATTGTAATTACCAATATCCATTTCTAAGACAGTTTCACCGTCAGATTCTTGATTCATTACTTGTTTCTGTTATTATACTTATGTATATTATTTCAACTTTCAACAAATTAAAACTCATTTCTTTTTATAACCTCAATTCAAAAATTGTTAAGAAGCTAAAAAATAAATGGAATTTATACTGAAATTACCATTAAACGTAACGAATACTCTTATTATGGTCTCAAAAAGATGAGATTCTGCTTAATCTACAGTCAAATCTTATTAAATGATCTCAATCATCCCAATTTATTCTTACTACAACAATAATTCATCTATATTTCATCAACTAACCGGATTATGACATGACTTATGACAGATTGTTTTATCTTATCTATAGTTATTTTATCCGTTATCGCATGTAATTATCATACATTGCATATTTTTTTAAGTAAATATAAGCTGCAGAACATTTATGTTTTTACCAGTTATTAAACCCAGTTAATAAATTCAAGTAGTTTTTTGTGGTTTATTGCAGAAAATGTCTTTACCTGCTCCTTTACGAAAATTATTCGAGTAAGTTTACAGCTCACAGTATTTTTTAAAACATTTCTCTTTATGAGAAATTAAGTTTTTAAATTGTTGTACTTTCTACTGATCGTTTTTTTGGTATTTTCAGTTATGTAGAAAAGAATAAAACAGAGTATATAAGTAATTTAAAAGAAGCAGTGGCAATTCAATCTGTGTCAGCATGGCCAGAAAAAAGAAGCGAAATTAAAAAAATGGCAGAATGGGTAGCAAGTCGTTTAAAAGGACTTGGTGCTGAAATAGAACTTAGAGAAATTGGCCAACAAACATTGTACGATGGTCGTAAAATTCCTTTGCCACCTGTTCTTCTAGGAAAGCTTGGAAATGATCCAAAGAAGAAGACCGTATGCTTGTATGGTCACTTAGATGTGCAACCTGCTTTAAAGGAGGATGGATGGGATACAGACCCTTTTGTTCTTACAGAAAAAAATGGAAAACTTTTTGGTAGAGGTAGGTACAGATTTTAGATTTTATTTACATTTAGGTAATGCAATAATACTGGTAATGATAGAGGTTCTTTTTTTCAATTTTGAAATCTATTGCTTAGGAGAGGCTCCCAATAGACGTACAATAAGCTCTTACTTTTACATTTAAAAAAATGTCATTTTCTTTTATCATTTTATAACAATTGATATCATTTAATTTACATTTGTTTAAATATGAAATTAATATCATCTTTAATTTTCTTTGTTATTGTGGTTATAACAATATTAATTAATGAAATTGCATTTCACAGCTTCAACAGGCTTCTCATATGTCTTCTTGTACTTCACTACACATCTGAACTGGTTCATCATATTGGTCAACTTATTCAGACTGTTGACAAGGATGAAAAGTTCACAAAAGGNTTATTATCTTTGTTAGGAAGCCTCTGAAATTTGCATTTTAAATGTGCTAATCTTGATTAGGTTCCACTGATGATAAAGGTCCAGTGCTGTGTTGGATACATGCCCTACAAGCATACAAAGCAGTTGGAGAATCCATTCCTGTAAACATACGTTTTGTATTTGAAGGAATGGAAGAATCAGGAAGTGAGGGACTAGATGATCTTTTATTTGCAGAAAAAAACAATTTCCTTAAGGATGTTGATTACGTATGCATTTCTGATAATTATTGGCTTGGCACTGATAAGCCTTGCATTACTTATGGACTTCGTGGAATTTGCTACTTCTACATTGAAGTTGAATGCGCTGCCAAGGACTTGCACAGCGGCGTTTTTGGGGGCACAGTGTAAGAAAAATGTATACATATATCAAGATTACTAGATTTGCACATTCTTAAAACTCTTAAACATAACACAGTATGCAGTAGTTCAACATGAAAAAATGTTTAAAATAAGTTAATATCTGTGTACCAGCAGTAACACTTCAAAAGTCTGAAGAACGTTGAATAGACCGAAACGTTACAAAATACATATAGTTGTGTAATTATTTGACCGCCACTCTGGAAAAAACTACATAATTACATTTATTAGATTTTACTCATAATTTTTCTTTGTAAGTGATTCTGTATCTGTAATAGTTAATATTTTTATTGTTTTATTTAGCAGAAGGTCATTGAACACAAAATGGAACATTTCCTACAATTGCTGAACTTTGAAATTATTTGTATTTTACTTTCTGGTTTCGTTTTAAACAGTTATTACTATCAAATGAATTTTCTTGAAATAAAAATACCCTAATTTACATGTTAACTATTTACGAATTTTGTTTTTTAGGCATGAGGGAATGTCTGATTTAGTTTGGCTCTTGAATTCTTTGGTGGATGTGAATGGTAAAATATTAATTTCCCATATTTATGACGATGTGGCGCCATTAAGAGAAAATGAAAAGGAAATATACGAAAAGATTCACTTTAACATTAACGATTATAAATCGAGCGTTGGCTGTAATAAGTTGGCCCATAATGAGGACAAAGTGCAGCTGTTAATGCACAGATGGAGGTATCCTAGTTTGTCTATCCATGGGGTCGAGGGGGCATTTTTTGAACCAGGTCAGAAGACTGTAATTCCTGGAAAAGTGACTGGAAAATTTTCAATTCGGATTGTTCCCGATCAGGAGCCCCAAAAAATTGAGAAATATGTTGTTGATTATCTCAACAGCATTTGGAAAGAACGGAAAAGCCCTAATAAAATGAAGGTAGCATATATTTTCTTCTAAAGGGTAAAAAACGGACGAATAGAAATTACTTTTCTAAATCCTTAAAAATATGTCTGATTGAATATACCATTATATTACGAATTAATTCTATTATATTTTAAATGAAGACCACTTTTAAATTTTGTTATTCTTGTTAGGCTTCTATGGTACATGGTGGCCAACCATGGACTGAAGATCCCAACCATCCTCATTACCAGGCTGGTATAAAAGCCACCCAACATGTGTATAAAGTGGAACCTGATCTTACAAGAGAAGGAGGTTCAATTCCTGTCACTTTGACTTTACAACAGGCTACAGGAAAGAATGTTCTTCTTTTGCCTGTGGGAGCTGGAGATGACGGTGCTCATTCACAAAACGAAAAGATCGACGTCAGAAATTACCTCGAAGGGGTAACTATTTACAAATATGATATATTTTGGAGAGAAAATTAAATTAAACTTTAACAACTTATTTTTTATTTGACTGAAATTTATTAAACGATGTAGATAGTGTTTTACATTTTNAAACGGTCAAGACAACGAATGAATTTATAGCAAAGCTGAATTTATTTGTATTGACGGTTAAATATTTATTGTTTTTTTTTTTAATAATATCGACGTAGGTACCTACCTTTAATCCATCTATTTTTCAAAAGGACCTGTGCAAATTCTAATCCTATGCCACGAGCTCCTCCAGTGATCAAAGCTACTTTGCCGCGTACTGTTTCCATAGTGATCTTATTTCGTTAAGTCCTTTACATCTTGGAAGAGGAGGTCGTTAGGAGTAATTTAGGCTATTTTTTGTTTGTTTTTCTGTTTACCTGCTTGTACGGAGTCGAATCGATTTTAAAAACATTTTGCATGTATTAATAAAGGATTGAAAGGAGTTATTTGGGCTACTTTTTTGTTTTCCTTATATTTTTGTGAGAATTATGTAGCAGAAAGAGCGCCGCATATGCAACCTTGCAGACATGACTGTAAGTTGGCTGCATGTATTTTCTCAAAAATCTTTATTCTTTACGATAAATTGATAATATTTTAAATAGTTTGGGACGAACGAAGTCGCGGGCAGAAGGTAGTAAACAAATAAACAATAAAAATACTTGCGTCTTATTTTGCAACGGTTTATCTTATAAAGGCAATTTGATGTAAAAACATGAAATTAACTTGCTGTAGTATTAAGTAGTAATGGTCTGTCTATATTCTTTTAAGTATTAGCTCTTTAAAACTTGTAGGAAAATATGTAATTAAGAGATGCAATGGGGAAGGTCTAAATTTTTTTTATATGCCACATTTGAGTTTCACTAAAAATGGTTAATTATTTAATATACATTAAGTGTCCTGTTTTTAACTATTTCTACTTTTCCATATCAAGTGTGCGTCCACGCCAGAAAGTTGGCTGTGCTCACGAGAATGAATAAGTCGAGAGGGGACATTGGAAGACATTTAGATGTCATAGGATTGTATTAATTTGATAGAAGTTTGTGATTTACAATGTCTTGTAGTGTTGTTTACAAACATAAATCGAGTAAATTTGGTTTTAAAACGGTTCGGTTCCGCGTTTTTCGGTTTATTGAATATTACAAAGAAGTGATGTAGACAATGGATTGCGTTTATTTATTTTGAATTTTAACTATGAATGTGCTTGTTCGAACATGAGAAATACATGACAACCATTTTGTTTTCATCAGCAGGATTCTTCAGTATTTATTCTGTATTATTACACTGCGCGTAATAAAAAGTGCGAGGATTATCTGGCTTAAAGAGGAATAAGTATGAGGTAAGTTTTAAGTTATAGATATCATCGATTTTGATTTAATTGATTGTTTATTGAATCAGAGCGAGTTTTTTGTTAATAAAATTATAATAATTTGTTTTAAAAGTTTCAATTACTTGTTAAATTTAACTACCCAAGCCCAATTATTTTTAGTAAGGGCTTTATCGTCCAAGTTGATTTTTACAATATTGTCGTCAATATTCCACTAAAATAAAAGGAATTCTAATTATTAATAACAATAGCTACTACTTAATCATACCAGCATGTTTTGTTGCGTTTCTTTGATTTTCTAGACAGTTTGTTTATTTTCTAAATGTTAGTAGGGTGTTCTGGAAACCTTAGGATTCTTATTTTACTTTAGCTTTAAGTTTACTTATATGCATCAAAACAGTAATAGAAATAAATTTTGAAATATTTCTACTGTTTTAGAAAAATTAGCAGTTATCAATTTCTTAATAAACAAATATAACTTTATTCACAGGGTGAAATCAAAGCCAAAAGGGGCTAAAAGATATTTATCTTAAATAACAACCGTCAACGTTTCGTCCTAGTTGTCGGCTTTCTCAAGGCTAGTTATTTAAAGTTAATGAAGATGCTGAAGGCTGTTTTTTAAGAAATAAGTAACTTTTAACCCTGTTTGACTTTGCTACTGATTTAAGGTTTTCTTTACACCTTGTGCATATTTTAATGCTTAATCATTAATCATGGAATGTATGTATACTTAATCTAAATATGATTAAGTAATAAAATTTCACTTTTTAACTTTAAGAGTGGAAGATTAGCAACTAAGTTCATTTGTATTAAGGTAAAGGTAACAGTCACTGCTTACCTCAAGCTTTTCATTATTTTCTAATAACGTTACTGAAGATGGTGGGCTTTTCGAAAATAAGTCCACTACTGCGCCAATACTGAGAATATTTCTATCAGGCCAACTCAATACGATGGCATACACATAATTTTTTTTCGATGTGTACCATACATCAGAATTAACTGTATCATTTTGGTAAGTCCATGTTGTGGTGTTATAAATTGCCTCTCCATTCAGTGATAACCATGTGCCCAAATCGAGCAAACGTTCCTTTAAAAAATATTGTTACATAGAAATTAGAAAGATTAAAAAAAAATATTTTGTAGGGTCGTGAAATTGCTGTTCGCAAATAGTTAAGGATGTGGGATGTTCTAGTTTTAGGGAAATGCGAAGATTAGCTCAGGATAGGAAAGAGTGGAGGTGCGTGTCCAACTAGTTTTAGGACTGACGACCTTATTATGATGAGAGTCGTGAGTGACATTAAATGATATGTCTATATGTTGAGAATAATCAAAAATATTGAAAAAGTTCATCGTGGTACTGAAAACTTACTGAAATATAGGCACAAGGATGTTTTAATTTTTTTGATTGCTCATCCGTCATATCCGATCCCCAATGGCTGATGTAATACAATTTTTTTATTTAAAATTAGGTAAGCTGGTACAATTGGTCGAAATTTCACCACAAGTAATATTAGTTGTTTGTAAATAGTTAGTAATATAAACTACCTGGAATNTTAATTTTTTTGATTGCTCATCCGTCATATCCGATCCCCAATGGCTGATGTAATACAATTTTTTTATTTAAAATTAGGTAAGCTGGTACAATTGGTCGAAATTTCACCACAAGTAATATTAGTTGTTTGTAAATAGTTAGTAATATAAACTACCTGGAATATTGGTATAATTGTTCCTTCCTTGGTTGGTCCAATATTTACTAGTAAATTTCCTCCACAACTTACAGTTTGTGCCAAAGTTTTTATCAATTCATGAGTCGTTAGGTATTCGTTCAAAGGGGCATTTCTTCTATAACCCCAAGAATGTTTATCTAACGTCATAGCGTTTTCCCATTTATGAGATTGCAACGTACCTGAAAGGACATTAACAAATTTTATTTTTATAAATAATGTAATGTAATGTAATAATTACGTATTTAGTTACTTTTATCAATTTTTTTATAGAGGGTCACTCACACAAACCTTATTAATCTTTGTCTTTTTGGGGGTTTAAATTAATTTTAAGTGTATTTAGGTAATTCATGAAAGGGAAACAGCAAATTTATTATTAACTTTTTAATTTCTTTAACTTTGAAACCCATAATTTTTGGTGAGATGACATGAGATATCAGATTAACTTTCGAAGCTTTTTAAAATGATTTCCATTGGAAATATTCACCAGATGGTAGAATAATCCAATTTTCCCTACAAGCAGTAAAAGATTTTATTGACCACTTTTGCTTGACTTAGGGAAATTTTCATAGCCCTAAGGAATTTAGAGTCATATCAGAGAAAAGGGGATTTTTATATAATTTATAGTATTTTAGTAATTTAGTATAATTTTTGCGTCAAGTGAATTCTTGTTGCAAGTAACCTTTAGGCAGTTTTTTTTGTTAAATATGTTTTTTAAGTAATTTCGATAAAAAAACTAGAGAACAAAAAGAAATTCATCTGGTAACGCTGACTTTTGCTGATTAGGCGATAAGGGTTTCCGTTCCAAAAAAGCAGTTGTGTGGTTTTATTGACCTGGATTGTATCGATCATTGCAAGTGAAAAATCCCCCATGAAGGCACGATGTGTTTTTACCCCATCTGTCATTCACCACCACTATTTCTTTAACGGGACTTTCGTTATATAGCCAAGCCAGAAATTCTCTTGATTGCCAATATTCTACCGGAACTTCTCCCGCTCCATCTGACCAAAATACATCCGGTTTGTATGTATTCACCAATTCTTTCATTTCCGGTATTGCTTTTCTCACTGGGAAGATATTCCTTGAAAAGTTTGCCGCTTCGTCGGCGTTGTACATGGGATTGAACCATTCGAAAAATGAATGGTAAAGGCCAAAATGGATCTTCGTTTTGCTGCGTACCGCGTCTGCTAATTCTCCTGTAATATACCCCTTTTTTTAGATTCAACTATTATATTATATTGACGATTAATTATTTTATGTGCATAGGTACTCAAAGGTGCCCATAGTGCTTTAATTGAGTAACAAAACAAGATAAAATCATTAGGGAATGTATTCACACCACTTGACTCATTTTTTACTATTTTTACCCCCTTCCCCTCTTTTCGGTGCCCACTCGTAGTATATGCTGAGATCCCCTCCCTCTGGTTTTCACGCAGTAATTCATAAATACAGTTTTAAATAATTTTTTGCGAACAAAATCTTTTGAATATAACCCAAAAAAACGCGAGATTTTCCTAGAGGATATTGACTACGTGACGAAAATCGAAGTCCCCTGCTCCTGTGTCCAAGCGTGGTATTTTTGAAGACTCCCTCCCACCCTGACTGGTCATATAGTATGGGTACGTTCCCTTATGTATCTCTGACAAATCAATAGATACTACTTTTTAATGGTGTGAAAAGATATAAAAAAGAATTTTTGTTAGTTTTCAACTAATTAAAGTTATTTTGTTATTCTTATCAGTAAGTCTTATCAAGCAACAAAACACATAAAACTGTCATTAGCTATTAAAGATATTATTACAGTTGTTTTGATAAATATAAACAAATTGTGCATTACCTAATTATTTTTATATTTGGGGTTGGTTATATTTTTATAATCCCATCTTTTTTAATAACTTAAACAGAGAGCAAGAATTTTTTGTAATATCTATTCAATTTTATTATGATTTGTTGTATTTGAACGAACTTGCCTACTAAATCTCTGTGTGGTCCCAGGTCTTTGGCATTCCAACTATATGAAAATTCTGAAGGCCACAAAGTAAATCCTTCATGATGTTTACTTGTAAGAACAACATACCTTAACAACATTCAAAAAATTATGTACAAACAGTTTTTAAGAAAATACTACTTACTAAATATACATTTATTAATTAGTCAATTTGATTAGTAGAATTATTTGTATAGTTTTCCATGAATAAGTAAAACCAAGAGAATTCAATTTTTGGTAGGAATTTAACACTGTAAATTTGTTTATTGTAGATTTTTTCGTTCTATTTTAATCGTATCAAAAAAATATATAAATAAACTCTTGTTTCAGCATTTCACGTATAAAGGCTGATTACCAATTTAATGATTACTATCTTACAATATTATTTACTTTGCTCCAGATTTCTCAAATAATTCAGCCCATTCGTTGGGATTAAAAAATTCTGCAGTAAATTCCTTGCCGAAGTCTTGATAAGTAAAACGTGGAGGGTAGTTTTTTGTCATAAATTCTACATATTCTGCTTTCCGTTGACCTTCAGAAATACAAAAATCTTTAGTTTTTCTTTTTATTGGCATTAAATATTTCAATTTAATAAATTTGACAGTTATAAATGATTCCTTTTTACGGATTTTACCTTTCCAAAATTGCCAAAACCACTCTGACCCAAAACTAGGAACTGAAAAGACTCCCCAATGAATAAATATGCCAATTTTGGCCTCGTCATACCATGAAGGCAACGGTCTTTTGTCTAAACTTTCCCAGGTAGACTTATATTTAAAAGATTTAACAAGAAGCACTTGATAAAATATACAAGAAGTGAAAAGCAAAATGAAACTAACTGTGTTCGCGTACATGTTCATTTTTATAACTGATAATATTTCCAGTATGAATTGGTTTTGTTAAGCTAAAGGTCATTTTTATCAGTTGTTCATAACACCATTTTGATGCTTAGTTAATTGTTCATTCTTGGTACTCTTCTTAAGGTCTTACGATGGTTCGATAATATCTGCGGACAAAATCAGATAAAAGATCAATTAAATAAAAAATATTTGAATTTTAAATTTTATTGTAGAAAGTACTTAAGCACGTAGGGATGAAATTTAGGAATAGAAGTGTGATACATAGCTTATATAAAGGGCAAGAGGTAGTCATAGAATTTGAGCAACATCTAGAGAAATAAATATTAGAATGGGAGTTAAATTAATTTTAGTTTCTATGCTTTTAAACCTTGTGCAGGTATTGTGACTCGTCAAAGTCTTTTCCAAGGGCTTAATGAGCTGGCTAAAGGGAGGGGCGTGTCCTCCCTTTGCCCTTCCTATGCCCATGAATATTCCATATTATATTTTTTCTTATTGCACATTTTTATGACATCTTTCGAAGTAGTCCCTATCTGGGGAGGACTATTTTATATAGGGGGAGGGTTGGTGGGACACCTTAAATATGAAGGGTTGGTTGGTTAGAGATAAACAGGAGTTCGGAGGGGTAAAGATAGACCTAGACTAGACTACTGTTTGCAAATGGTTCGATAAATGCAAAAATTATTGCAAGGTAGGATGAAGTGTAAATGTAAACGAGTATAAGTAAAATCAAAATTTTTTATTTTTATAAGTGTACATTTTAAACTTGTAAATTATAAGACGAAAAAAACCCTCTCAGATGTTTTTACTTTGTTTTAATTATTGATTAAAGTTAATAGGAATAGCCTCATTTCCATCATCTATTACCCATACCGAACCATTAACACCATTTTCAATTACGGTTATTAGCTCCTTGGCCACGTGGTTAGGTCTAAAAATGCTGATTATTGAGCTAAACTTTTGGAAAAAACCATTTTGAAAAACAAAAAAATATTAAAATACAACAAATCTAAATAGATGTGCTTAAATAAGTCTCAAATTAGATCGCAAATATTTTAATGTTACATACATCCGTTAATCGTAGGACAAACAGGTAGAAACATTCAAATAAGACCAAAGAACATAAATAGAGTTTTTCGCATTTTCTCAATTTTATTTTCTGAGATTATAAATATCTTGGTTAATATAATAAAAAAAGAACAACATTGCGTTATGATCAAATACTAAAATAGAATGCAAAAAATATAAGCCATTGTCGAAAACGTATCCGAAAATTTTGGTTATTAGGATGAATTCAGAATTATTTAGTGTGTAATTTCTAGAAAAGCAATTAAAAAAATGGAAAAACTTAGGTATTTTTATGACTTTAAACACAAAAAGTAAATACAGATTTACATACTCTTGCATTCCAATAAGTGTTGCCATTTCTTTAAGACTATCTTCATTATTCAAAAGAGCAGTGTTAGTTAAACCAGGACATATGGTTAGAACTCGAATTTTCTTATTGGCATTCGACTCTGCCAAACTAATTTTTCGAGAGTACCATAAAACGAAACTTTTAGTACTACAATAGATGGGTAATATTGGGAGTCCTGCATTTTGTTCAAGGGCTCCAATCGAGGACATATTTATTATAATTCCTTCGTCTCCAGATTTAAATTTTGGTAAGTAGTCATTTAATGCCAGCAATGTTCCATTAACAACACCAGTCTAATGTGAATTAAAATAAGAATTTTAAATTAAATGTTAATATAACAAACTTTTTATACGAAAGTAATGGTTAATATAAATCCTTTACATGACTCATTACAAAAATAATGGTTAATGGAAATATTTTCCATATAAGGGATAATGATAACGAAAATTAATGGAACTGGTAATTATCTGATACACTTTTTCTCTTACACAATTAATTGAAATTGCATTTTTCCAATTTTCTTCGTCAATTACAGCTGCGTTGTTTATTACTATATCAAGTTGTTTAAACTTATCCATGGTTTTTTTAAATGTTTCTGAAAATTAAAAGAACAATGATACTCTTAGTAGACATTCTGAGAAGTGACAAAGTTAGAGGTATTGGTAATCAGTTGCAACGTCCATGCAATATTAACATTAATCACTACCCATACTTGTACCTACCTTTTAATTGTTCAAAGTCGGATACGTCTGCAAATAAAAAAATAGCCTTTTCTAAAGAATATTCCTTGTTTATTTTATCTATTGCTCGATTTCCAGCTTCTTCGTTAACATCTACAATTGCGACACCCTACAATATATTATATATAAAAAAAACGGTCAAGACAACGAATGAATTTATAGCAAAGCTGAATTTATTTGTATTGACGGTTAAATATTTATTGTTTTTTTTTTTAATAATATCGACGTAGGTACCTACCTTTAATCCATTTTTCAAAAGGACCTGTGCAAATTCTAATCCTATGCCACGAGCTCCTCCAGTGATCAAAGCTACTTTGCCGCGTACTGTTTCCATAGTGATATATATTTTATATTTCCTTATTAGACGCGATTGACATAATTAAAGACAGTATAACTGTAGATATACAGGGGCAAAAGATTAATATGCTTAGATTGGCAGATAATATAGCACTATTAGCATCTAGCAAGGAAGACTTAGAGTTAGCTTTAAATAAAATGAAATCGTATGAAAATAAATAAAAGTAAAATAAAAATATTGATATGCAAGGGAAGAAAAAGTAGGGAAAGAGCGAATATAAAGATAGGAGGCGAAAAATTAGAAGAAGTGGCTGATTTTAGGTATCTAGGAAGTCAGATAAGTCAAGACAGAAAGAGTAGTAGGGACATAAAGTAGAGGATAGCGTAGGGTGGAGTCCCCTTCAATAAAAAGAAGTCAGTTCTATGCTCACGAACAATTGATTTAGAAATTCAAAAAGGTTTGTATTTGGACGGTAAGAAAAGGTTAGAAGCGTTCGAAATGTGGCGTTACACGCGAACGATGAGGATACCGTGGATAGAGAAGGTTAGATAAAGAGGTATTAAAAAGAATAGGAGAACAGGGGACTCTATGGAAGTCAATAAAGAATAGGCGGTGGTAGGCGCATATACATAAATGTACTTACTGTAGAATATTTAAATTGGTTTTGGATTTTTCAGTTTTTAATACCTTTTTTATCATATAAGGTGTATCACTTTCAACTAGATACTAGATAACAAGTGTGAATTCGTTGTAGTACACTACTGCATTAAATAGTTTGATGTTTGATAGCAATGAAATTCTAGTAAACAATAGGCAATTAAATTTTAAGAGTTTAGAAAAAAATTGAGCTATTGTTTTTTGTTCTGGTTATTAATGCGTTTCATTTTATTTTAGTTTTTTTATCTAGTCTAACATGTTTGGCAGAATTTAATGCAAGAAAAGGATAGTAACTATATAAAACTTTGAGTAAATATGACCGATATGGACAATTCTGTATCTAATTCAAATTTCATTGTGAGCTTTTTCTTAACACTTCTTTCTTTATACTTATTAACTCAAACTTTCGAAAATTTTTGGAAAAAATGTATACAGTAATTATTAATAATATTTTTAGAATGCTATTTATTGCGGATTACAACGATTAGATAGGTATAATTTTAAAATAGGGCATGGACGTAAATTGCCAGGCTTGTAACGGGTCACGTTCCTATCTCTTCGCTTTGGACTATTTAAAGCATTAGAAAGCGCATTAAGGAGTTACAATAACTTTGTATATTTTTTAGGCGATTTTTTTTATTTATTGTAATACATACTAAAATCTATTTATTTTGTGAGAGAAGAAATCTCGGTATTATTTCGATAAAATAGGTGAAAAGCCTCTTCACTTATTTCACCTGAATAGCCCACCACTGCAGTTATGGTATTTTATCTGTATTATTCTTTTTCATTATAGAATATATATATATATATAGAACGTAATTAAAACTATCTACTTTCATAAAAAAATATTGAGGCTCTTTTAAATATGTTTATACATCTATATAAATAAATTAATTTGGAGTGTCTGTCTGTAATATTGAAATAATTGTCTTTTACTGATTTCTATAAGTACTTTACATCTACAAAGAGGAGGTTGTTAGGAGTAATCTAGGTTATTGTGTGTTTGTTTTTCTGTTTGCCTGCATGTATGGGCTCGAATCGATTTTAACAACATTTTACATGTGTTAATAAAGGGTTGAAAGGAGTTATTTGGGCTACTTTTTTGTTTTTCTTATACTTTTGTAAGAATTATGTAGCAGAAAGAGCGCCGCATATACAACCTTACAGACATTATTGTAAGTNGTGCAATTTAAAATTAACAGAAATAACGAGTAAAGTCGTTTTTATAAATGGCTGCCGTAGTATATAGATGCCCTTTTTTTGATAGGCACCGAATAGACAATAGATAGTATAGGTTTTTGTTTACTTACCTTTGTCCCTGCAGTTGTTCGCTATCTTTTAAAAAAAATTCAGTGTACTCAGGACCAAGACATTTGCATTTTTTTAAAATGCCTGTATCGGTAAGACCGGGGCAAATGGTAAGAATTTTGACTTTCGTTTTTTCGTAATAAACGTCTGCGCTTATGGCGCGACTGAAGCCAGAAACGAAAAATTTGGTTCCGGTGTATACTGGTAAACCTCTGCCGGGGTACAGAGTGCACACTGAAGATACGTTAATTAAATAACCCTCTTTTCCACTTTTATATTTTGGGAGGTATTCGTGTACCGCTAATAACGTTCCATGAACAACGCCGATCTAAAGTAAAACGGGGTCAATCAGTTCAAATAATAAAAAGAAAAGAAAAAAAGGGGCAGATGTGGGTCTAAATCGGACCTTTTTAGGGCTGCCTCAACAAGTTAAGACTTAAATTAAGTATTTCAATCTCAAAACTCAAAAAATGAGGATTAGGCGCTAGGTATGTGAAATAAAAAGACAAAACAATCAAGAGAGCAGCCATTTTGAAATGCCTTAGTACATCAAGATTTTAAGATATTTTAATTTAATTTCAATATTCTAGAGCAATTCTGGACTGGATTCGCGTTTAAGTTTGAAAATTATATTATACAACTGTTTAACGTTAGACTATAGTAAATTTAGATTGCCCTGATTTGAAATTTAATCGTAAAATATACTTTGGGCTTTTCCTAAAGACGCTGGTAAAACCTAGGATAACTAACTTACGCAATTAATTTGTATTTGTTTCTCATAGTTAGCATCATCGCCAATTCCTGCATTATTAATGACTATGTCCAATTGATTAAACGTTTGAATAGCTTTCTTGAAACCAACTGAAACGAGATCTTTAAAATTACATAAAAATGTCAGAATTTTTATTTGCCTTCCAGTTGACTCTTGTCAGCTACATCTGCTTTTGTAAAATCCACTTTATCTGATCCAAATTCCTTTACAATTTGTTCCTTGACATTCTCGAGTAAGTCTGTGTCAATATCCACTAATTCAACACCCTAAAAATTTAAGTAGATACTTTTAAAATAAAATACCGCTATCGCTATGCGGCCATCCATAAAATACGTCACTCAGAATTTCACCTCCTTGGACCCTCCCTACCCTTCGTCACGGTAAGTCATACTATCAGCAACCCCCTTGACAGATAGTGCGTCACAAAAGCTACCCCTTTCCTGTAAACGTTTTTTTAATGACTTTCTACCGTAATGAAAATTTTCAAGAAATGTCAACTTAAATAAATTTAAAATAAAACTGATGAACTGCGAACGTCACATTTTCTTAGACCCCCTCGCCTTTGTCAATTGATACCCCTCCCTCCTTATTTGCAAGCGTATTTTACGAATGGCTTCAATTTTTACATGATGAAGACAATTAGTACATATAGTTTTAATGTCGTTGATATTGATGCACAAACTTGGCAAAAATATTGATAGAGGTTTTTAATTATTACCTTGGCTCCATTTCGTAAAAGTTCTTGAGCGAACGCAAACCCTATACCTCCTGCACCACCGGTTATTAAAGCCACTTTTCCTTGTACCACGGACATGTTTTAAACAAAAAATAAATTTATATACGTATATTTTCAAAATATATATAGGATCTACTGTTTTCACAAGTTGTCTGTTGTTGTATACGATAAAATAATAGTGATAAGAAAAATTATCAACAGAATTTACTAAGGTTTAGTCGTTTAGTAGGTGACTTTAATTAATATTTAATAGGTGTATGCCATGATAATTTAAAACACTTCAAGGCTAGTGAACTGTTTTATTTTGGACCTTTGTTTACGAAGACGTCTTTAACTACTGCAATCATTTTATATAAACGCAAATAGAGAAAGAATACTCTTATGTTTACCAAGGAACTTGTCCGTGACCTAATAAGATTTATTTATTATATATTTTTTATAATTTTTTTTTAAACATTCGATAAGAATGAAAAAAACTTTTGATTCAATAACATGGAGATTAAATTAATGACATTGTAGAACTTTAGTTATTAAAAATTATTATCGTTGGATTTAGTCTAAAAGGTTTGGACAATTCGTTTTAGCACGAATTACCGTATCTTTTTTGCTATGGCAAAATATTTACGTTATTCAGAGCCCAAATTATTGAAACCTACTTTTGACAATCTTACAAGATATGTATGACCCATATTAAATGGTACCGTAAGTAATTTAACAAGTACATGGAAATATTCGATTACATCGACTCATATTTTCTGATTGTTTTTAAGGATCTCAGTTAAATAAACTACATAAAAATTTATTGATTTAAAATACACTGAAACTAACATGAAGTTGTTGGCCGTAAGGTTCTTAATATGTAATTTCACGAGCAGGTTCTTTGTTCTCTATAAGCCATACTGTCCCACTTGTTGCTGTATTCAGGATATTTACTAGTTCTTTTCCCATGTGGCTGGCCCTACAAAAAATACATTTCCTGATGAAATTTTACAAAACAGTGACGTCTACTAACGAAAAACTGAAAAGGCGGGCATCTAATTATTATATTTACTCATCTTTTGAACAAGTTTAAAACGATCTACGGAATTTTTAATGTGTAACTTACCAGTTTGTAAAGGACATGCAACAGATTACCTCTACACACGATCGGATATTTTATAGGGTTGTTCGGAAAGTCATTTCGTTTTTTTTGTGGAAATGAAAGACAGTTTTCGTATAATAAACAAATACTTTATTAAAATTTTGGAGTGACCGGAACAAATAATAATCCGATGGTGCCAGGTCTGGAGAATATGGTGGGTGTAGCATTGTATCGCATTCAAGCTGTAAAAGCTTTTGGCGAGTGACCAAACTTGTGTGAGGTCTCGCGTTGTCTTGGTGAAACACTACACCTTTCCTGTTGATTAGTTCTGACCTTTTCTGTTGAAGTGCATCATTCAGTTTGTCCAGCTGACGACAGTAGACTTCCGAATTAATCGTTGTGTTATCCGGTAAAAGCTCAAAAAAAACGATTCCTTTAAAATCCCACCAAACAGACAGCATCACCTTTTTTTTCTCTGTGAGAACATGGGGAACCCATACATCGAGCTTCGAGGATAATCCCAGGCCTTTCAAGTGGTCATAAACTGTTGAATTTGATAAATTTAACCTCAATCCGATCTCACGTGTTGTTATTCGCCGGTTCACATCAACTAATGCCTTTATCGCGTCTTTATCAGCTTCAACCGGCCTTCCCGAACGTGGTGCATCTTCGACATCAAAATTGCCGGATCGAAATTTTGCGAACCAGTTCTGGCACTGGCGTACTGTCAACACACCTTCTCCATACACATCAGTCAATTTCTTTCTGGCTTGAACAGCGTTTTTACCCTTTCTGTAGTAAAACAGTAAGATATGTCGAAAATGCTGCTTATCGCTCTCCATATTTAAAAGGTCACCAACCAAAAACTACTGCGTAGAATTAATTGGAATTTTTCACACACAAGCCTTGCTATATGAGCTCTCAAAGCATATAAAAATTATACGGCTTTAATGTGAAGTTGGGTGCAAAAGAATACAATTAAATTCTCTGTCGGGAAAAACCAAAATGACTTTCCGAACAACCCTATAGATCTTAAGTAATTGATATTATCTTTGAAATAGAAAAGTTTAATATTTTGGGTCTCTATGTCGTATACTTCGTAGGTTGTAACATTTCTGTGACCGTGATATGTATAGCAAAACTTTTAAAAGGTAGCTACTTACTCCTGCACTGGTGCTGCTTCTATGTCTTTCAAACGAATTCTGGTTAACTCAGGATCCAGACCTTTTAAGACAATGTTTGTCTTTGTAGCGCCTGGACAAAGTGTAAGAACTTTAACTTTTGTTTTCTCGTAATAATCACTTGCACCTATGGCGCGACCAAACCCAACGACAAACCATTTAGAACCAGTGTATATCGGTGCAAACGATGCAGGATGTAAAGCACAAATTGAAGATAAATTCACCACGTAACCTTCTTTTCCACTTCTATATTTTGGAAGGTATTCGTTTACTGCTAAAAGAGTTCCGTAGACCACGCCGTTCTAATGAAAATTAGGATTATTGATGTTGTTGATATTTTGAAATTACTGATTTTTTTTAAATTAAAATAATTATTATTATACATTCGTAACTAATTCATTCGTAGTAGAAGTCTGATTTCGTTCTGGGGGAATCTAAAAGCATATCAAACTATTTTATGAAATTAAATAATCATTCTGTATAAAGTAAGACTAAGACCAGTTTTGGTATTGGTCTTGGTCTTACTTATTCGGGCTAGGTCCTGCCCAAATACTTCTAGTCTTGGTCTTAGTCTTGATCTTGCCGATATAGTCTCCGTCTTAGTCTTGGTGTTGGCAATATAGTCTCTGTTTTGGTCTTGGTGTTGAGTGTTAAGTCTTGGTTTTGTTTATTTATTTTAATAGTTACGTTTTTTTTAACAATACTTCCAAGCACAATTTTTTTTATTTACTGACACAATAATTGTCTTAAATACTGAAATTTTCCGTCATACATGCGAGCTTGTCATTACTTTTAAAGAAAATAGGGTCGATATATAACATACATAAATCCATTGGAAGTAAAAAAAAATCTTTCGTTTAGTCTTGCGTATTTGATCTTGGTCTTGCGTATTCGGTCTTGGTTTTAATCTTGGTCTTGTTTGTTCGGTACTGGTCTTAGTCTTTCATTTTTTGCTCATCACTTTACGATATATGTTTTTAGGTCTTTTCTGTATCTAGTTTAGAACTTTTATATTTATAATTGATAGCCCTGTACATATTTAGAAATACACTATTTTCAGGAAGCAAGATACAATTCAAAAGTTGAAATTAGTTGCTAGTTAAACTTTTAAAAAGTTTCAGTGTTACTATATATAGTAATAACGATACTTATTGCTAAGTATTTAAATTTTATTTATCGATAAGTCGATAGCAAGGAGGAGTTAGAGATAGCTTTAAATAAAATAGAAGTGGTATTGACAAAACAGTACTGTATGAAAATACATAAAAGTAAAACAAAAATACTGGTATGCAAGAGAAGAAAAAGTAGGGAAAGAGCGAATATAAAGATAGGGGGCGAAAAATTAGAAGAAGTGGCTGAGTTTAAGTTAAGACAGAAGGAGTAGTAGGGAAATTCGAAAAAGATTGTTAAAGGGCTATGCTCGGAGCGCGGCACTGTACGGGTGCGAAACATGGACAGTAGGCGCGGCGGAAAGGAAAAGGTTAGAAGCGTTCGAAATGTGGTGTTACAGGTGAATGATGAGTATATAGTGGATGGAGAAGGTTAGAAATAAGAGATATGAGAAAGAATAGGAGAAAAGGGAACTCTATGGAAGTCATAAGAAATGGGCGAGATAGGTTGGTAGGATACCTTCTCAGGTATAAAGGTTTAGTCGGAGTCATATTAGAGGCACAGAGGAGTTAGGAGGGGTAGAGGTAGACTTAGATTAGATTACTGTTCGCAAATAGTTAAGGATGTGGGTTGTTTTAGTTTTAGGGAAATGCGAACATTAGCTCAGGGTAGGAAAGAGTGGAGGTACGTGTTCAACCAGTCTTACATCTGACAACCTTATGGTGATGATGATGACTTGATAGAGTTAATATCTAATAATTTAATTAAAAATTAATGTGAAGTAATATTAAATTAAAAGTAGAATACTTATTGTATGTCTTTTGAATAATTGATCCACACAATCTTTCAAACATGGTTACTGTAGGAATTTTTTCTGCGTAAAATTGAGTATGTATTGGCAGAATTTAAATAACTTACACAATTAATTTGTATTTCTTTCTCGTAGTTAACATCATCGAGAATACCTGCATTATTAATGACTATGTCCAACTGATTAAATACCTGAATAGCTTTTTTGAAAGCAGCTGAAATGATAATAAAAATTAAATATAATATCGTCGGAATGTTTATTTGGGATTGTTTACCTTCCAATTGATTTTTGTCAGTAACATCTGCTTTTGTGAAATCTACTTTATCTGGTCCAAATTCTTTTGCAATTTGTTCTTTGGCTTTCTGAAGCAAATCCGCGTTGACATCCACTAATTCAACTGCCTAAATATTTAAATACTTTTAAAATAAAATACCGATAGCCATGAGTACTGTTTTCTAATTTGCTGTTTTCCTAAGATGAAGGCAATTGCATAATTTTAATGTTATCTATATTAATGTGCAGTTGACAGAGACATTGATACAGTTTTTTTAATTACCTTAGCTCCGTTTCGTAATAGTTCCTGAGCGAATGCAAACCCTATTCCACCTGCACTACCGGTAATTAAGGCCACTTTTCCTTGTACTACGGACGACATATTTGAATAAGAAAACTAATGTATCTGTACGTTTCCAAATATATATAGGTATAGGATCGTGTCCTAGGTCTTACTATTTTCAGACATTGTTGTTGTATATGATAAAATAATGATAAGACAAATTATCAATATTTGCAGTGCTCTCCTACAGTTTTAATAGACAGTGACTAAAAATTAATAATATTTGGAATATTTCATAATAATTTGAAATATTTGAAAACTAGCAAATGGTTTTCATAAAAAAATACTCTTCCGGTTAGTGAATTTTAGACTTTTATGATTTTCAAGATTTTGTTTTTTTGATTTTATTTGTTTACAATTATTCAATTATTGAATTAAAAAGTAATTCTAATTCAATAATCAAACTGAAGGATTTTAAAAAGTTATTTTTTTCTGCTTTATTCATTTACTTACAGATGGATTATCGGCTATGTGAATTAATATAGGTAATAATTTGACATAATAAAAATTAGTTATTATTTTTATTAGTTTGTCC